ATTTGGATATAAAGAAACTGAAATGATCACTTCTGGCTTGCTTATGGTCGTGAGTCAGTCATACCTTAACCCCAGGACCCGTAGGACTCGAGCTCAGGGGGCTTCGGCCATTGCGTCGGATGCCCACGACCCGTCGACACCGATCTATGAATTATCGAGATAATATCGTCTCTCCAAGCCTTTACATACTAGAGCGGACTGTGCACCAGACTTGCAGAGGAAAAACGGAACATTCCTATACTAACCCTGCAGGAAGAAGGCCGCTTCCATCAGTCTGAGTCTTGCACACTTCATTAAAATCTCACTAGACACTCCTGACTGTGCACCGTCCCTGTTCAATATTAGCTGTGAGTGATCGTCGAAGGGAAGCATTCTACACAGTTGCGTCTTCTTTGCAAAGGCAAAATGCTTCTGACATGGGCTCGGGCATGAGGTTGATTGCGTCCCGACGGCTGCCGTCATAAGTAAGCTGTCCTAGGAGTGCTGTTTGGCCAAACATTTTAGGCTCTGTACTTTAGGGCTTGTGTCAGAAGTTGGACAGGAAAAAAAGGGAGGCAGCAGAGGCCTAAGACTGGTTCACGTGGGGGCATTGTGTATCTTCCCCCAAAAGCTAACAGTTAATAATACAGCGTCGATCGGTGTCCATGTGATGTCTGGGGGGGGGGTGGGCAGTTAAGTGCGCCTGACAACAGCCTTGTTGTCTGTCAGAAGGAGAATCGCCCTGACAACCAAATTCCACCGATCTCCTTCTCTTCAAAAACCCTATTTGACGAGTCATTGGAAGGAGGCTGAACGGTCTTCACCAGGAGGATAAAGAAGGAGGGGGTAAGCCAGGTCAGATAGTCACTGAGCCCGCCTTCGAAAACGTGTTTTAACGGTCTAGGAAGGGCACGTGGTTGGCCGGGAGGAAAATAAGGCAGGACTAGGCAATCCTGTCTCCACTGTTTTTATCGATATTGTTTAACGCCTTTTAGTAGTTTGTATGGACTCTGGACAGAAGTTTTGAAGCAAAACAGAATTGTACGCATTCGTTCCTTTAGGCAGAAGACATTGTTGAATGCAACACCCATCGAACTTGATTGTTGTTTTATCGTATTGGAGTAAATCACAAACTTCCAGTTGATAGAAGCTGAAAATGTTTTAATAGACGATAACAAGCCCTCCCGCCCTTCCCATTCTAAGGCGTTATGGTGCGTATTCCTTCAAGTTTATTTCACTCCCAAAGGTTCGTGTTAAATTTTAACCAGTCCCTTCGTAAAAGGCGCTGAAAAAAGATGGAATAAAATGTCTGGAGAAATAAAGTAATATTCTTTCTGGAACGATAAGAATGTGTGTTAATTAGTAATATGATTGGGGCTATAATTAGAAACATGGCCATTTCCAGACGCTCGTGACTCACATTAGACAGGACAACTTTAGTAACCTGAGGACGACTTTCAGGTACGCATGCCCTAATGATATCCGTTTGAATCTTATAGGAATGCGACCAGAAATAATTATCGTGCGTCACAGGGGCATGACATTTGAAAAGTATCTCTATGCACACCAAAGTGCAACCAGCAAACTAAAGTGAACTCGGATATGTGGCCAAAAAACACTAGACGGCTGCTTCAGTGACTATCTCGACCTTCATTTCGGGTAGAATTTGGATGTACAGCACATCCTGTCTTGGAAAAGAGTCCCGTACACATTGAAAACATGTTTACACGAGCTAAATTCCTGATCTTTTTTGACCATCTACTCAAGAATTCACAAATACCGGTCAGTAAATCACCCATTAGATATGCAATCCAGAAGCTGAAGGTGAGACATTTTACCTCACCATGCTGAGAACCAATGTCAGAAGTATACTGAGAGCATTACCAACTAACGTAGTATGGAAGCAAGTTTGGTGCGACACAACTATCACGGGTGCGTATATATATATAGATGAGATGGAGCCGACAAAGACAAGGGAGACCGGAATGGCCATTTCTGGCTCATTAACCGTCATCAGCCAGTCATACCCAACCCCAAGTGTGGATCACTTGAGATTCGAACCCGGGATCTTTGGTCATGGAGTTGAACGCTCTACCATTGAGCCACGGGCCCGTTGTCCTGTCGGTTGTGATCGGGAATATCAATTATGACAGATGCGCGCTCACCGATCAGGTTACAGAACATGCTCGTTCTGTTGTGCCTTGGAGCTCATACTTAAACCGACAGGACAACGGGCCCGTGGCTCAATGGTAGAGCGTTAAACTCCTTGACCAAAGATCCCGGGTTCGAATCTCAAGTGATCCACACTTGGGGCTGGGCATGACTGGCTGATGACGGCTAATGAGCCAGAAATGGCCATTCCGGTCTCCCTTGTCTTTGTCGGCTCCATCTCATCTATGTCTACTACTACTAGTCGCTGTGCGACTGCCTGCGAGGGTTTAAGTATGAGCCCCAAGGCACAACAGAACGAGCATGTTCTGTAACCTGATCGGTGAGCGCGCATCTGTCATAATATATATATATATATATATATACAAGAGGGGTCGCTTATTAACTTGCAGTTATATCATAGGATAAAGTGGTTGGATGTTAAAAACTTTTACAAAATGTCAACAACTGCACGCAGTTATCAGCAGGTTTGGTTTTGGAAGACTTTTACTGGGACAACCCACAAAGCAATTGTAAAAGTTGTTAGCGTAGAATGTGTTTATTTTTAAATCAAGCTGCTCGATGGTAACGCGATTTTTTATTAATAATTTATTCTTGCATGCACAGCCTGGCCAGCTTGCAAAAATAAGAAGTATTTTCAGCAAGTCTCAGCATGGGGAGAATTAATAGGTAAAATGTTTGCACCCAAGTTTCATAGTAAAAAACCTAATTCACATACTGAACACGATCACAAAGTAACTCCCTTGGTTAATTAAGACGAGCATTCTCCTGTGAAATTACTCTGCCTTCGTTGACGTATTGCATTCCAGAAACGACTTAAGGTCGGCAGTTGGAAATAGCACACCCGATTAAATGCTATAAAAGTTTTAAATTCCTCGCGTTTACGTACACTCACACAGTGTTTCTATGATTTTTGTTGAAAAATGTTATCGGTGTTCTATATGCCTGGGGAGCGTTTTAGTGTACTCGAGGACCAGAGCATATCCAGCTGTGCTTTTTGAAAAAATAAATGAACTTCTGAAAAGAAGGCGAGACGTTCGTGTACTTATGACCATGCGAAATTTTTTCGTTACTTAATAGTTTATTCATACTCGCGTCATCTGAAATAGCTCAAAAACGGGGATGTGTTCAGCCGCCTTCACATTGCTGCATGAAAAATCTGTGAGAGGTAATGTTCATTAAAAGTTCCTCCGGCGTTCCATTTCGATACTTTTGTTACTGACAAGTTCCTGTAAAGAAGTATGGTTGAGCTACAAATTCACCGAAAGAGGGCTTTGTTAAATTAAAATTCATAAATAGAACGTGCGGTTGTTATTGAAAACGATTGAATCGGGCCAAAGTATGCTGCGGCAGAGAGTTTGGATAAAATCCTTCATGTTTCATCTGAGTGATCCAGCCGCTAGTTTTCGTCCTAGGTCTATTGCATGAATCCAAATACATGTCATTTTCAACGAAAAAGGCCTGGAAGGTACACAATCCCTCTGGGAAAACTTTATAAATTTTTTTATTTGAGAGTGCTGCTTAGTGGACACATGCGCATCTGAATCTGTTGTGCATATGAGCTTTGCGTATTCTGACCACCTGGGGAAAAAAACAGGGGTGCCTCCATGTGGCACAAAAAACTTCACCGCACACAATTAAATACTATACAGCATTCAAAAATGAGGAGAGAATTTACTCTAGCGCGACCTATCCGACATCATTAAGAGGGGGAAACGAGGGGAAAGCGACCACTTATCAGACGGTTGTTTTGCAGGGACGGAATTGGAGAGGGCTGGCGTTTTGAACGCCGCCCCGCAACCCCGTCGGTGCCCTCCAACTGCATCCTGCTGACGTGAGCCAGGTTTGCGCCAGACGAGGATCTTTCTGGCAGGATTTATGTCAACTTTCGAAGCCAACCTGGAGAGATTTGACTTCGTGCCTTTGCCCTCTGTTCACTAGTAGGTTCTGACGAAATAAACAGTTAAATACAGATTTATTAACATTATTTCTGTTCAAAATCACAGTGTTTCGACATTTCTTAAATGCAGGCTGAACATTTTCAAATTCCTACCTCAGAAGTCCGTTTGTCATTCTACACTGTCACCATCTTTTTCTCATTTATTCTGGACCGCGGGGGAGGCACTAAATTTTCAATAGCACTTGCCGTTATATATGACAGTTCGGCCGTTGAGTTCGACGATATTCACCGTGTTCTCCACAGCAGAGTGATGGTAGGGACGTGACTTTCGCGTGAATTAGCTTGTAGCGATAGTAAACTCACGCAGCGCCTACCGCACTCTCTTCTCCCTCACCTGGTCCCGGTGTCAAGGTAGAATCAAAAAAATTCGAAGGGCTCAGGTGGCTGGCGCGATCGGGACCGCCCCCAGGCGTGCCGTCAAACCCGGCTCGAAGTCCATAGAGTGGGAGCGTCAAGGACAAGAAAGACTGGAAGCTCCGAACGAGAATGGCCGAACACGCGGCAGCGGTGCGCAGAAATGACGCCAGCTCTCAAGTTGCGGCTCATTCGACGAGATCCGGCCACACATTCAAATTCGATGAGGCCGAAATTCTCGCAAGAGGTGACAACCGCGTGAGCCGGGAGCTACTGGAATCATGGTTTACTGGCCCCCAGTCCATCAACAAGTGCAACAAGCTTCCCACTGCATACTGCGTGCTAAAATTTTGTCTAGGCGGAGTAACAAGCCATGCAAGGAGCGCAGAGGTGAACACTTTTTCCAACACCGGGGTCAGTGCGTCAGATGGTCGAGCAATCATCACGCCAACATCCAACGCACGTGATGAAATTGCAGCAATTATCGACTCGAATGTCGGCCATCAAGCGGTGATCACACCGAGTGCGACGATCCCGGATGAAGGGGGGAGCCGTGAATGTTCATAGGTATGCAGGAGCATGGCTACTGCATCCTATAAATACCGCAGCCCCTTGTGCGGCAACCACCCGTTTCTGCTTTTTTGTCTCTGATGATGGATTCGAGTAGGAATCCGAAACGTCAGGCTAATAAAGCTCTTGTCCCGGTGATCATGTCTCCTACTTCAAGAAGACTGGAGTGGCTATTTCTGGCTTATTAACCGTCGTCAGCCAGTTATACCCAGTCCCGAAGCGTCCTCTACCATTATACATGTCAAGTAAGCCTTCGACCCTCACTGATGTAGTTAGGATCTCACTCATTTCCATTCTATCCACCTGCCAGCTTGCTACGGATGACAGCGAACGTTGTGTCATAGGACACATACCACACATAATACATAAGCATCTCACTAGGAGTGAAAAAGTCGAGAAAGGTTTTTTGTTGATTATGTAACAAATTCCATTAAACAGTGACGGAATGTACATACCTTAGATTACAGGATAGGAGGAGTCTTTAGTTTCGTAAACTCACCGGGGGACAGTATTATCGACACTTGATATATTTTGACGAATCTGCGCCCCTCGAAGAATGTAAGGATGGCCGTAATTCACATGCCTATTTGAATGCTAGGTGTCTGGTTCCACGAAAAAATCGCGGAGGAGGAAATACGGTGACTGGAAAAGAGCTTTATCAGCCTGGCGTTTCGGACTCTCACTCGAACCCATCATCAGAGACAGAATCGGAGACATCAGACAGTCTGACACTGTCTCTGCTGATGGATTCGAGTAAGAATCCAAAACGTCATGCTAATAAAGCCCTTATCCCAGCGATCGTGTTTCCTTCTCGGTAATCTCAGATATCTCTTCGAAATAAAATCAACAGGGGCAACAACCACTGATTCCGATTTAGGATATCAATGAGCAATTAAGAGGCGTTTGTTACTGCTGCCTCTAAATGGAAAATTGCGAAAATATGTCAACGGTTCATTCCAGAGCACGACCGAAATCATCTACATCTTTTGAAGAGACATTTTTGAGTTTAGAAGGTGTTTGAAAGTTGGACCAGTGTTCTCCTGACACATCTGAATTCGCGAAAGTTGAGATATCACAATTTGGAAATCATACTCAGACGTGCAAACCTTCGTACTAAAGTGGCACTTTCATCGTCCTTTTGTCTGATTTATCTTAATAAGGACTCATCGCGTATAGGCATCAAAACAGCCGTGTAATTACTCGCAAAGCTTCATAAGCCGCTCATCAGGATACCATCTTCAATGTTAAATGAATTATGTTTCTCCTGTCTTTAAGGGCTTTTGGCGTTGTCTTGTAAAAAGGTGACTAAATTAAGATTCTGTAAAGTACGGTCGATATGCTATCTCTTGTAATGTTAACCGAAATTCTGAAATATGTTTTCGATTCGAAAAAATTCTATAAATAGGGTTGTAGTATTAATTGTTGCGCAGTTTACCCCCGAGATACTCCAGTCACGCCAGAATGCCGGCTTTTAAATAAGCTTCTGTCTGCAGAATCTCCGTTTTGCATAAAACGACTGCTTATGTTGTGTGAATTTTTCCCATCGATTTTTCATGCTCTCATAGACAAAAGAGCATCATATAAAAAGTACACAAAATATGCTTTCTTGTACCCATTTGGTAGCAGACTGTGTCTTCTCCAAATTCAATACTTTAAGAGGGAGTATGTTAGGGTTTTAAAAATTTTGCTACTATGGTATTTTTAAAGGCCGTGAAGTGTCCATTCATACAGCATCGAATCTACACGTTTGTCAGTGCTACTTATAGAGTATACAGCCTGGTACTCAATCATTGTCTTCGTAACAGCTTAAAAAAGTTGTAATGAGTATTTGACGGAATTTATTCAGCGTGTAGGTTGAAACCCTAAATGCCAGCGTAACGGCTAGTGGGACAAGAAATTATTTGGGAACTGAGAAAGTTTTAAAAGCCGGTTCTCTTTCTTCAAGTAAAATGTCTGAAGAAAACGTAAAATGTTACCAAGTGAATGCAGGAGAAAATACTTTTGTGCAAGCTTTCTGTAAAATTTATTTAAATCTGTGATGGTATGGAAAATCGATGGGGAAAATCCACACAACATATGCAATCATTTTATACAAAACGTTATTTTTCGCTGGCGGCCGAAAGGAAGCTTATTCGAAAGCCGATATCCTGGAGCGCGTAAAATGTGCAAAGACTATGCTGCACTACAATTAACACTACAACCCTAGTTAAGCAATTTTTTTCGAATCGAAAACATTTCAGAATTTCGGTTAACATTTCATGAGATAGCACATCTGCACATGTACAGTAGGTGGTCTAACTCATGAAATGTCAACCGAAATTCCGAAATACGCTTTCGTTTCAAAAAGATTAATTAAGTGGCGTTGTTAGACTAGTCAGCCTGCAACATGATTCTATAATATTTCAGTTACCTCAGGATTCCGGCTTTCGAATAAACTTCCTTCCGGCTGCATGCAAAAACTACACTCTGTAAAAATGATTACTTAGGTAGCACGAATTTGTTTCACTGATTTTCGATGCCCCTAAAAGTCCTATTATATTTCATGAAAAACATGCATGAAAATATTCATTCTTTTGCTCATTCGGTAGAAAATCACGTCTTCTCATAATTTTAATTTAGGAATTTCGGTTGAGCTTTCATGAGTTAGCTCACCTACTATACTCAACAAGGTGGGCATTTTCACACTCGGTTATTCTAAAAAAGGGATTTAACTCCTCAATTACAATGCCTTTAGAGTGGATCACAGCGTCTTAGGACCAACTTTGGTTTACTCAAATTCAGCTTTCTGTTGTTCCACCATTTCACGTGTCCTTGAACTTTTCTCCTCTGCCCTTAAGGCCGAGTCATTTCAACGGAGGTCCTGTTTCAGACAACACTCGATTCCGACAACTCTCGTTCTCCGCAAACAAAACCCAATCTGTTTATAATGCCCATTCTTGCGTACAGTCAGAATCTGCGAAGCGGCAGAAGAGGATTTGGTTTGATCATTGGAAGACAAATTACGCAGTCTTTACCAGGTCTTAATATTGGCATAAATTAAAGTTTCTTCCCTGGTTGGTATGTTAAAAAGTTTCATTTTTGCTCACGCTGTAAGGAAACCTGTCTGTTTAAATTAATTGCGGAAGGTGCAACATTATTTGGCATTAAAATGCGCTGTAGTCGGGAATGTTTTGCTCTTGGGAACAAGTTCATATTTTGTCACAAATCTTTGTGAAAATACTTCATGTGACGTACCAAATTTTTGAATGGATCCGGCTCACTTCATATGCCTTGTAAGCGCAACTAATCACTCTACAAAAACACTCCTGTGGACGACACTTAAACTCCCACCGTCGCGAACCTTTTTACGACCGATATATTTCCTTACCTTCCCTTCGAGGATGCAGTCGACTACAAATTTCACATAGGAAAAAGGGTACAGCCCACCTGGGAAATATGACTACATGTTATAGGCCCTGAAAATTGATGGATGCAATATGTACGGCCAGCGCAAGGACTTTGTGACTGTCTTTGTGGTCGACAGGTCGATGTTCACCGTGTGCTACGCAGCAAGGTGCAGCAGGCACGGTGACTTGTGCGGGAATTAGTTTATAGGGATAGTAGACTTGCGTAGCATCTACCGCGATCTCTCTTCCCCACTCCCCATCTGGAGCCGGTGTCAAGACAGAGTCCAGAAGACCAGAGGGGGGTGGGGGCGCAGGTGGATGGTACGGTCGAGCCAGCACCTTGTCGTTCCACTCCTCATCCCCTGGTCACACAGCAACTAACCAGGTTTCGACCAAAAACAGCAGCAGCAACAACAACGGAACAAGTGTCAGAAGGACGACGATGACTGGGCAGCCATGCCCATCATCTGTATACCCAGCGGGAGCGCGAGTGCGCCTACCGGCAGGGAACCAGGTGTCAGGGAACTGCCGGCGCATTCCAGACTTCGAGGGCCATGGTTTGCTGATACTGACATAGCGCACGCTACTAGACCTTTTGAGTCTTCGTGGTCGTCGGTGTGGTCGTTCATGTTCATGGTAACCCAGCCATTTTCGTCCTTCTGACCCATTGTTCTGCTGTCATTGGTTAAAAATTCTGGTCAAGTGATTGTTGTGGTTCAGGGGTGTGGTGACACGCCTAGGTGCGTATCCGGTAGTGTCAGCCGCTTTCGCCTTCTCCTGCCTTTGGTCTTCTTGACCAAACTGGAAGAAGGGGAGAGTGTGGTACATGCCGTGCATGTCCTTTACCACCATAAACTACAATAGATATGCTAACTCATGAAATGTCAACCAACATTTCCACATTCGTTCTCGTTTTGAAAATATAAATTAATTAGTGTTGTAAAACTAATCATGATGCAGCATAAATCTATAATGATCCAGTTACCTCAGGGTGTCGGCTTTCGAAAGAACTTATTTTCGTGTGCATGCAAGATCCATACTCTGCAAAAAATGACTACTTATGTAGCATGCAATTTTCTCATTGATTCTCGATGCCCTTGAAAATTCAATTATATTTCATGGAAAACATGCATAAAAATATTTAATCTTTTACTTATTCGGTAGAAAATCACGTTTTCTTCCAATTTCATAGTTAAAAGAAAAGTATAACTCGGTTTTAAAAAACTTTTCTAATTCCTGAATAATTTTGAACCCGACCTGCTGTTACACTTGCATTCAGGGTTTCAAAACTACAAGCTGTATATTTTCCGTGTACGTAAAAACCCTGCATTTCTCTACGGTGTTAAGAGGAGACCATATGAGGTTCATAAAATTAAGCAGTGGATTTGAGCAACATTGTTAACTTTACAAGCCACATTGGTAAACGCAGATACATGACGTTTCATGAACGGCCCTTTAATTGGAAACTTTGTTAAAACCGAATTATACTCTTCTTTTGAGTATGAAATTGGAAGAAGACATGATTGTCTACCGAATAAGTAAAAGAATGAATATTTTTATGCATGTTTTCCATGAAGTATAATTGAATTTTCAAGGGCATCGAAAATCAATGAGAAAATTGCATACTACATAAGTAGTAATTTTTTGCAGAGTATAGATCTTGCATGCAGCCGAAAATAAGTTCTTTCTAAAGCCAACACCCTGAGGTAACTGAACCATTATAGATTTATGCTGCATAGCGATTAGTTTTACAACACTACTTAATTTATCTTTTCGAAATGAGAACGCATTTCGAAATCTTGGTTGACATTTCATGAGTTAGCACATCTACTGTAAGTCACACACAAGTCGCTGTGCCTGCGCTCACCTTGCTTTGGAGCACACGGTGGTATCGTTGGCACCGACGGTCTAACTGTCATTTCGACAACTCTCCCTCTAGTGAGGCCATTCGAAACGAGAACGCATTTCGAAATTTTGGTTGACATTTCATGAGTTAGCAGATCTACTGTAAATAGAACACGAATTCTGTGCTTTTTTTAAATGAAATTCTGCGTCTCCTTCATGTATTTTTTGCCACAAACCCTTTGTGCCTGTCGGAAACACCACAGGAATAGGTTCTAATTTGCGCAAACAGACGCCTTTGTCGCTATTTCTTAGAAACCGTATAATTTTAACGGACATTATTTTCAAATGACGTAGCCTTTCACGTTCAGTTCCACATTAAAAAATCCAGAAAAAGGTTTAGACGCCGGAAGGAACGCAAAAACGACAACTCTCCCTCTAGTGAGGCCACTCTAGGAGGCTCTAACGATGCCTGCCGACCGCATTGCAGTAGATAGCATAAAATTATAATCAATGCTATTCGTTTCCAGCTGTGACTACCGCAATCCTCTAATTTACTAAAAGACTATAACAACAGTTGAGTTTGAGATTTCACAAGCTCTTTACGTGAGACATATGCATAGACTGCTTGCAGTAAATGCAGCAGCTATGCAGAAAAGCATTAAAAACGATCACAAGATTTTGGCCGTTATCGCGCCAGCCTGTTCAAGGCTCATTTTACATTCCATGTCCACCCTAGTATGACTGTGCAGAGGCCATACATAAGTGGCTACGTAGCTTACTTACACCACCAGGTCCTGCATACTTTACCATTTTGACTGCTGTCTGATAACCGCGATCCCACCAAAAATATTTACCTATATGCGCTTCAGGAATGTCAAAATTCTTCATAATTACCGAGGGTATCAAAAAAATTCACAAATTTCTAGGCACATACACCGTGTGAGGGCCTACAAATGTTAGATGACAGTACGTCTCCATTAATCTTTCTGTTAGCTTACGGAAGATTGCAGTGGGAGAAATCAACATCCAATGTTAGAAAGAAATTTAACTTTTCTGTGGGGGAAGCTGTTAGTTAAGGCATAGTTTGAGCTCGCTGGAGGATGTTGAGATAGTAACATTAATAAAAAGATGCTGGGCTGTATAACGGACGGATTCAATGCCATGGCGACGGTTTGATATGCATTCAGACCTGTAGAGAGTGTGGTGTATGAGACCAGGCTTCTAGTATAGTTTCGAGTCCTTGAGAACTCACTCCTGCTTAGTGAGGCGACAGTAGCAGGAAGACCACCGCAAATAATCACAACCTGCCTCTCTTGGATGTAATAGGGGTCATCCTGCACAAAAACGCAGTCATCACAACCCATCGTCAATAAAATGAAAGTCCGCTTATTAGTCAGTGCACTTGATCAGTTGACGCTCGAAGGTGTGACCCCACAGGGAAAACGGGAGTCAAGGACTCCTGTGCTAGGGGAATGATGACGATAAGGGGGTTTTGTGGGTGGGGTTAACGAAGCCTACAGACAGCTCGGTTAAGCGGGTAAAATTTCAAAATATGCAACTAAACCATTAGTTTGTGGACATCCGTCAGTTGCGCGTAAAACTGCGGGCGCACAACTTGAAGTATAGGAAATTACGAGCTCCAAACTCGCGGGAAGAGATAAGGATCCAGTGCATGGGCTAGACACTTCAGATGAACCAATCCCGACCGGTAATGAGCAATCACATTGAAGAAGGAAATGCGAAGAATGTATTTGCCATGTTTAATTTCCGAGGAACTTAATGCGCAAAGTTTGAGTAAATCTTTCGGAACAGACCTTTTCAGACATGTCCGAAATTTTATACTGTCAAAGCCCACGCTCGCGATGGTCTTGCCTAAATATACAAGGGAAGTTGACGAGGTTGATGGCCAAATCTTGAAGATATGTTTAAATTTTAGTTCGAACCCTAACCCCCGAACTGTGACCCCTAAACCCAAGTCTGGTCCTAATCTTAGCCTAACCCTAAGCCTAAGACGAACGCCAACCCAAATGGTGACGACCAGGAGAGTCGTGACGGCGAATGAGCGAAAGGAGGTGATAAATTATGCTTACTTAAATGATACAAGTAGGCACTTTAGGGACGTAAAGACTAGATGGGGCCACATATGTGGTCGCCGCCTTTGCTTAAAATTACCTGTCGCCGTTACATGTTCTTCTGCATAAGCCCATTTCATCTACAGCTCTTTCCAAAACAAACACGTAACTCCATCTACAGAAGACGCCAACTGACCGAACAGGGTGCTAAGCCAGATGGTAGGACTTCTCCGTCTATGTGCCTTGCTATTTCACTCCTTTGGAGGAAAGGCAAAGCGAACATATTTCCAGTACTGACCACTGTTAATGAGTGTGCAAAACACTATAAACTGACAAACCTACAGGCAGTAAAAGACCCCATTCCTGATCGATATCCTGCTTCAGAAACAGAAATGGAAATTCAACGCTGACATTTCTTCAACTACATAAGACAAAGTACTCGCAACAGGGATCCCATCCCTACGCTAAAAACTGATGATGGCGTTGAACTTTACAAGGACGACGAAAAGGCTGAGCATCTGTCCAGGTTCTTTCAGTCGGTTTTTACGAGAGTAGTCGCTGTACCCACTGATCATTGTAATGTGGACAATGTCCCGACAATTGACTCAGTGGTTCTCACAAAACCTATTGTTCAACAGGAATTACTGAAGCTAAAAGAAGGGACTTCGCCCGGTCCTGACGAAATACCGGCAAAGTTGCTGAAGGAATTAGCCACAGAATTGGCAGAACCTCTGAGCGTCCTCTTCCAAGCCTCTTTTGATGCAGACAGACTGCCTCCTGAGTGGAAGACTGCGTGGATTTCACCGATTCATAAAAATGGCAGTCGCGCTTCCGCAAACAACTACCGACCAGTAAGCCTCACCTCCATATGCTGCAAAGTTATGGAGCGAATAATCAAACGCGAACTGATGCAGGTTTTAGAGCAAAATCATTTTCTGTGCGATGCACAGCATGGTGTCCGCAGAGGGAGGTCCTGCTTGACCAATCAACTCTACTGTCTTGAACAGTGGACCCGAGCGATTGATGAAGGAAACGTTGTGCATGTGGCCTACATAGACTTCAAGAAGGCCTTTGACAACGTGCCACACCAACGTCTCCTATACAAGCTCAGCCGCATAGGGGTAAGAGGCAAGCTTTTGAAGTGGATTGAAAACTTTTTTGGTCGGTCGGTCCCAGACTGTTCCTCTTGGTTGCCAGCAATCGGCAGAGGTGACGGTTACGAGCGGAGTACCTCAGGACTCCGTTCTTGGCCCTATCCCCTTCCTCATCTATATTGATGACTGTATCCATGGATTGGACTGCAAAATTGCCATGTTTGCTGACGATATAAAGCCTTGGACTCTCATCCGCAACGAGGACGATGAAGCAAATTTACAGGCAAACTTAGACCGACTCGAAAAATGGTCAGGCCACTGGCTCCTCCCATTTAATGTTACCAAATGCACTATTCTGAGGATTGGAAGAATCAGCTCTACGCACCGGCAGACGTACTATCTAAATGACACACCGCTGCCATTGGTAGAGGTTCAGAAAGACCTAGGGGTGTGGATAACATCTTCACTAAAGCCATCATTCCACTGCTTGAAAGCAGCGAAATCCGCAATGTTCAGCTTATATCTCATTAAGCGGGCATTTGCCAAGTTCGACGAAGACTGCTTTCGCAAGGTCTTCGGGATGTTTGTGCGCCCACAGTTAGAATTTGCCATTCAGGCCTGGAGACCCTGGACTGTTAAGGATCGCACCACCCTCGAAAAAGTCCAACGACGGGCAACTAAGCTTGTCAGAGGCCATCAAAACCTACCTTACGAAACTAGACTGTCAAATCTTAACCTCTTTCCCCTGGACTACAGACAACTCCGTGGCGATTGAATTCAAACGTTTAGAATGTTACGGGGTCAGGACTGCTGCCTCACATCCGGCGATCTCTTTGAGCTGGCCACCACTACTAGCTTGAGAGGACACCCTCTGAAACTACGTGTGACAGGAGCGAAACTGGGCGCAAGGAGGTGCTTCTCTAGCCACATAGTGGTAAAGGCATGGAACGCCCTGCCTGTGGACGTCGTCATGTCCTCGTCCGTGGACTCATTTAAGAGAAAGCTTGACTAGTACAGGGATATGTACCTCCACAGCATCAGAAACTAACGAATTCCCCCCTGTGCCACCCGCCCCATCCAACGTTTGATGTTACAAAGCCTGCTACTCCCTATATTTTAGTAACATTACGTTTTACAATTTTTGCTATCTCCTGACCGCCACATATGCGCTTGCTTTGATATTACTTGGTCCATTCAGTACCTTACTGGATATTGTACAATTTTGACATAGAAGGCATTCACAGACAAATTCATACCAGTGACCAATGCTTGTTGTATGTAATTACTTACCGAATTTTTTTCACACTTGCCTTACACATTGTTTTTTATAACGTTATTGTAACCAAAAGGGAGTTCAAAGGCGCGCGCCTACTTTTCCCTTAATAAATCTGATCTGATCTGATTGAATACTGGTGATCTAGCATGCTGCTCGACTGGTAGCTTACGACTATATCGTTCACTGCTCACTCGGGGAGACTGTAGCACATCAGAAAAAGGCGCACCTTTATTCACACTCTTTGTAACATCAATGTTCAGTTGCGATCAATGCGCCCTTCACAGTCCGGATATGTGGTTATAGGGGACGGTCGTCTATCAAAAGTAGTATTGTGGCGCCCCATTTTCTGTCGATAACCCTGTAGCCCACTATTTTTCCACCTCAACGCAGACAATGCGGAGCCTTATTTCCTCAGTTCGTCATTCGGATGCACCTGCGCAAATGCAGAAGGATGGGATTGTGGTCTTTTACCAAATAAGACCGATTCCGTGAAATTCTAAGGGTGTTTCAGTCGCACTTACACTGGAACCATGGATACACCTTTGCATGCAAAGAGACAAGCGTTGCTGTTACTATGAGAGGTTTTTCACACTGTGAAGATGAGTTAAGCCATCTGAGCTTTCGCATTCATGGACTACCCTATCCGCAGAGACAGATGAAGCAGTAGTCACTGAGCAGTGTGTGCAGTATGTGACCTTCTTACTGAAACGTGCTGATAGACACTTAAGACACTATATATCTTAACCATTCACATAACACATTACGAAAAATGCCCTTTTTGTATGCAGAATATGTTTATAAGTAAGTTTATCCAGAGAAAATCTTACAATGTTGAGCTTATATCAGTCTTACCTCATATTAGGGTAATTTGTTATGATAATGACTATCCTAAATCAGGTTTTTGTATCAGTACAGGTTAATCAACGTGATCTACGCAATCTAAACATACCAAACCATAAGAAAACCTAATTTTCGCCCCACGTTAGTCAGGTGAAGTTGGAGGGGAACAAACGATTAAGGCTTACTAGACATGTATATATAATGGTAGAGGGACGCTTCGGGGTTGGGTATGAGTGGCTGACGACGACTAATAAGCCAGAAATGGTCATTCCAGTCTCCCCTGTTTCTATCGGTAATGTCATTCGGCCTATATAACACGCTGTTATGAGGTTGCTGGCTGAGCTCGAGACAGGGCGAGAGCCCCACAGCCCAACAGGACGAATGGGATCTGGGAAGCTATCGGCGAGCGTCCCTCTATCGTAACACATTTAGGCTGGAGGTCAAAAGGTTTGTCAGTTGACTGAGAGTCGGGAAACCGTGACTCCAACTGTTCACAACTCGCGTTGTTTTCAGCGGTGTCAAGAATTTCGGCCCCATTGAATATGAAAGTGTTGTCAGGTCCTGCTGAATGGGCCACTACTTGGCAGCTGTCGTCGGGCATCCCCACTGCCGATCCTGTTCGGGCATCTACGCCCGGATTGGTCGTCTTCCAGCTTCTCGGACCTAGTCGTTTCACACATAACTGCGCTAGATTTAGTAAACGACTCTAAAAGTTCCTTGACGTCGCAGTTGTTCTTTTGGCCGCATGAACTGTTGCCTGACGGTTACCTCTGATCTGTAAAAAAAGCCAAACTTCAGTGAATTTAAGAAGGCGGCTGATGGCTTCCGAGAACTTCTTGACGCACGGGAGCGCCCGCCAAAATCTAAGGCTGGTTGAATATAGCTCATCGTCTCGTTTTTACATGAGTCATCTGACGAAGTTGCGTGCACGACTTCCGGGGAGGACGTTCCAGGCTCTTCAGTCTTCTAACTTTCCTGGAGGTCTGGACCAACGCTATAGAAGAGGGTCCCCAGGAGGATGTCGCATACATCGTTTTTTGAAAATCATTCGACAATGTCCAACACCAATGCCTTCTCCATAAATTGAGCGCCCTCAGAATTCGGGGTGGTCCTCAGAACTGGATAAGGGCATTTTTATTGGTCGAAAACAACACGTCCCCATCGGAGAGGATATGCCAGAATGGGAGAACGTGAATAGTGGTGTCCCCCACGACCCAGCTCTCGGATCCTTACTTTTCATCCTTTATGCTTATGATAGCTATCAAGAACTCGACTAATGGGAGTAATGTTTGCCGACGAAGTTAAGCTACAGCAACTCATCTAGAGCCCGAAGGACCCCAAAGCCCTTCCAAAAAATCTGCACCAACTGCAAACGTGCCAAAGAAGTGGTTACAAGGCTTCAACACGCGGAAGTGAGCCGTCCTAAATCTGCGTCCATTAAAATGTCATTCAAATGATAACATGAGGGTATAAGAACCGGAAAGGCAAGTTTGTTTAAAAGAGGGAAGAAAACGGGCAAGCGGGCAAAATGGAGACGGGAGGTTTTGTGTCGTGGTTTGAGTGTCTGTCTCTCTGGCGTTTCAGGTGAGGACAGCGGACTAGATCAAGAAACCGTCCAAGACCCTGTGGATATTGTACCTCCGAAGCCACCTTCCTGACCAACAAGCGTCTTCTCTTGCCCCCTCCCTTTACGCCCTGGGACTTTCCGCGCCTCTGACTCTCCTTGTACTTCCGTTTTCATCCCTCCCTTCTCCCAATATATTGTTTACCTGTTGCGCCTTCTTTGACTGCTCGGATCACACCTGGTACGTTGAGATATTGTTTTGTCGCCTGATGCCGAAATCTAAGTCCAACCATTCAGGAAAGGGGAAATCGACCCCATCCCCATCTCATTCAATCGAGCGAGCCGACGTTAGTCAGGAACCAGTCCCCCAGCTGGAAACCTAGGACGGTCCGCCAACTACAAGAGTATATCACCCGAAAGACATTACTATCCCTCAGAATCTTCGCAGAAGGCCCTTGCTGCTTGGATACAGAGCGACATGAAACCAGCTTTACAATGTACCGTGGCTGCAGAAACGTCATGGGGGAACTTTTTGTCATGAAAAGGGCTTTCGTAACTTTTAACAAAGACAGTTTACGGTACGATTGCTCGACCTCATCTGGAATATGGAATAAAAGCGTGATGGCCTTGGCTAGCAAAAAAAATATATCTCCAAAAAAAATAATGTCGTGCGGCAAAGGGTTTAAAACCAATCGTGCATAGAAAGAATGGACTCTTAGCGTACTCCCCACATGTTTCAGGCAACAAAGACATGATCTTACTCTCTTTTGCAAAAAAAGACATGAGCTTTAGAATGAACTGAGCTTTGTGGACATGTTTTAGTGGCATCCCTCGCCCTATCTTTGTGGTCACTCGATAAACCCTGCAGAAAAATGTACAGCCTGAACCACCCCTCCGAATTTCTTACAGAAAGGGTAAAGGAGAAACAGAATGATCTCCCTCAATAAGTCGTGGTGGGAGGATCCCTGTAGCTTTTCGAGTTCACGGAGATAGTTTTACTTTCTCGTTAACAAAGCTGAAATGAAGTAAATAAATAACACTGGAAATGGGCAAATGTTCAGATTATAAGGCTTATGTGTAGGAATGGCTCTAATATGCAGGAGAAAACCCTCGCCATGTTTGGTAACGCGGCCTCCAAGGTAGAACTCGGGATTGGCGATAGCGAGTCTACAGTAGGGAACTATAAAATTGACCCACAATTTTGCAACTTGATATTTTTCCGGCACGAACTCAAAAACTACGGTTTGCAGTTTGATCATAATTTTTAAGACTGCTCTTGCATTTAGGGTAATTGCGCTGAACATATTGTTATCGTACATGTTACGTTCGCTACTATCTATAGAAGGTCGGTAATTTGCGGAGAGACTGCTACTAACTCTAAATGCATTGTTGTATGGAATGTTCTTGGGGTAAATTAGGTGGGAAGGAACGTTATTTTGTGTATAGACAAAATCGGGATAGTCATTAAACAGAGGGATTTGTGCACGATATTGCATAATAAGTTTAGTTTAAGAAACTGAGTAAATTTTCTCGATACACAGGTTGTTCCGACGGTCTTTGCAACGTCTAGTTCGAACTTACTTCGAGGCCTGATACCCTCACTTATACAAATGTTCCTTTGTTCTTTATATGCCTGTAAATGCTTCTCACTGTCAGTTAACCCGTAACTTCCCCAGATGCGATTTCTTTTTTGAAAGAGGTCTGCAGTTCCGAGTTCATCTACCCCATCTGTCTTGTGGTAATTTCTCTTCCAAGAGCATATTTTCCATCAAAATTACTGACTTTTGCATAGCCGATCAAGTTCTTAGCTCTTCCCAGCATGGATTTTACCCGATTGCCCTTGTGAAACGTATCATGTCTCTTCTGAATCTACCCACTGCTATTCACAATGGCCACTCATCTGTGGTTGTTATCTGTTTTGAACTTAGTAGGGCCTTTTACAAGGTACCACATAGGCTACTCTAAGTCGAACTGTAGGCTCTGGGAATTCGCAGTCCCTTTTTGGACTTTACGAAGTCATGCCTGTTTAATAGGAAACAAAAGGCTTTAGTGGGACCCTCCTTTTTAATGAAATCCAACTTGTAAGCGGTGACCTACGAAGTACTGTGGTAGGGCCTTTTTGTCTTTGCTTTGCACTACTTATACTTTGTCGCCAGTTAGGTACTGTCACACGTTTATTTATGTTGATAATCTCAAATGTGTATATTTTTTCTTAACTATGCGACCTAACACTGACTTGCTTGTTCTTCCCGCACGGAACTCAATATAACTAACGAAATCCTTTTCTTATAAATTCGGCTATGTGTGTTTTTGACCTGGAAGGCAACCCCAACCAGTGAGTTCTCAAGTTACCCTACCACCATCAAAGATGAAACTAGGTCTCTCAGCGCATGCCGGCCGAAATGCATCCAAAACTACCCAGATAGGCCGTTTTATTTTCCATAATGTCTGCCTTCCTGGTATTAAATTAAGGCTTTATTAAATTATTGTCTTTCCATTCTCGAATACCACTGTTTCTTCTTTGACAATTTTCAAAGGTATTTTTCTAGACAAATATTAACTAGGGTGCACCCAAATATTTCCCACTCAAGTAGACACCCGTTAATTAACCAACAGTATCTATGGGTTCGTAGATTAGAAGCCGGCGTTTGACTCTTTTTTTTCACACCAGTAATATTACAAACCTTCTTCTGATTTCAATCCCCCTTACGCCTGTTAGTCGCCCATGCATTCTTCGTAATTCTCCCTTGACCATACCTCCTTCGGCCTCCTCCACCTCTAAACGCTGTCTCTTCTTTGCTTACAGTCGTGTACTTATTTGAAATAACCTGCTAATCGACATTAGATCATCAAATAGTTGCTTTTGGGAGAAAGCTGCGCCTTTGTCGTAACACTGGCTCTATAAGCCTTTTATTTTACTCATCCTTCCCGAGCAGCAACAAGCCATGACTTCAAACAAGAACTATTTGGCCTTTGGGATGCCGTCGCCAAGCTCTACTGTCCGTTCAATTTTCCCTATTTGTGTGTGATCCCGCTTCCCGCTATCTCTCGTCAGGCATTTTAATTTGCTTCAGTCCATGCATTGTGCCCTTCATAAAACGCGGTATCCTCCCTAATCAATCTCCCAGAGACGCAATCGGGTCATATCGACATAAGTGCTCTAGGCCGCCCTCATTTTGCTTAAAGCCAACCCTCTCCAGGACTTCGTTCTGCCACACGAATGTCGGGGTTTCACCCCAATTGCCGGTCTCATTCTGAGTCTGCCATCATCCAGCATTCCCAGGCAACTGTAATGACGCCTCGTTCTGACTTGGTGATTTGCCTTCATAGTTTCATCCTGCTCTCAGGAAGAACCTAACCTGCTCCTCCACATCTCATCGTGAGGCAATTTATTCCCGTAACTATTTTTTGGAAGTGATGGTTACCTAAATTCCCCATTCATCTTCGATTGCAGGAGCTATTCCTGTTTTAGACCAGCACATTTTTCTAAGAATTTCCAATCTGAAATTTATGGGATTTATTGCCAAATTGATCGTAAATGGAGGGACAAATTGCTGGCGGACGCTAAAACTTCGAATGCTTTGCGCCTCAGAATTTCCAAATCCTACTGTTCATCTGGCCGTTCACGCAGACCACTATTGTCTACACTGTCTGTATTTTACCGGTGGAACCCGTGTGCAGTTCTTCTGATATTATGACACCACCTAATACTCGGAAATTACACGAAGTGTATTCGTACTCGACTGTTATTCCCAACACCAACACGGCAGAGAAAAAGAACACGATCTGCCACGATGAAATGTGTTAGAAACACCCAACTCCTTCCCATTGAAAAAATAACGCATATTTACAATATCCTACTTGTACTGGCCAGCATTCGATCTAATAATCCACGAAAAGAAAATTCTGGACAAGCTGAACAACTTCCCCGGGCGCAGGCAAGTCAGGTTTAAGGAAAGCAGCCAGCAGCTACCAGCATTCTGACGGTGTGCTAACGGCATGCTTGAGAATGCGTATGTGACTTCCAGTGAGTGACTGTCCCTTGGTTTTTTGGAATGTAGGCACAACGTATACTTGCTTACTTGCCTGCTTACATATACATATGTACTTACTTACTTGAGTATACTTATACTTACAGACATGGCTCAGTGGTTAGAGCCGTTGAACTTCTAACTAACAGGTCGCATGTTCGAACCCCAGGTGTTCCACACTTCGGGGTTGGGTATGACTGGCTGACGATGGCTAATAAGTCAGAAGTGGCCATTCCATTCTCCCTTGTATTTGTCCGTAATATCATTCTGCCCATATCATGCACCGCTGTGAGGCCGCTGGTTGGGCTTGAGAGAGAGTCCATAAGGCACAACGGAACGAGTGAGTTCCGTAATAACGATCGGTGAGCGCCCCCATACATTTTATTTTCATATATCCGTCAACGCAATTCAATTCCTCACGGAATCCCCGAGGTTCCTCTACTCATAAGTTGACAGTCGCTTTTCCTAATCTTTTCCCACCCGCCAGGCAGCTTTTGTCAAGGAAGAAATTAGTACTCGGCGTGTGGCCACGCGAACCTATGGGTGGCAGGTCCCGTTGGTTAAGCAATTTCTTCTCCCCTCGAGAAACAATAAGTTTAACGCATTTTGACTGTCGTCCTTCCCTACTGCTTGTTCCTAAAGTCACGTTCAGTTAGAGAAGTTTCTCCGCTGATCACAGAAACAATTTGTGACTCACATTATCTGGTAGGCCTTGAACGGTCCATGCTTGCCAGCTAATGCCGGGAGCACTAGAATCCTCAACGGTTAGCACATCCTGCTTCTCATTGACGGCGGTTAATCTGTAGCAGCCGTTTCTCTGCCCCCTCGCTGGACTGTATACGCGCCACGGCTGCACACGCTAACTCTCGATCTGTCTCGCTGCAATTCCGTCCACACCACACTCCTGGTCGATTCTCTGCCTGCAGCATGTGAGGTCTTACCACTACCCTCTCGTGTTCTCGAAGCCGATTAACGTTACTCCTTTCGCTGGCAGGTACAAGTGGTCAGTGGCATAAAAAATCACGCAACGCGCAGCAACGTCCTGGTGGTAGCGACACGCAGCAAGACACCCCGACTGACGCTCCCCTTGAACGGACGTTTATCTCTGTCGCATGCAAACGCCAACTTGCGACAATCTGCCCTGTGTGCAGAGTAAACTAATCTTAGAAGCTCTCGAACTTGTGACATTAGACAAAACGAAATTTTTGTGAGTGGTTTAAGTTGATCTAACATCCTTGACAGCCACAAACCAACAGCTGACATAAACTACAGCGCCTTCGGCTGAAAACTTTTTAGTACGTATGCCATAGTGCCACTCTCCTTTTGAATAGTAGTCCTGCCTGGGTTTTATTGTCAAGAATGAGTTTTGGAGACCTCGGTTATGATCTCAGGTCACTGATTGACTTTGTTTTTGCTTATTCGGAAAACCTCTGATCCGGCAATAAGTTCCTCAGTCTACAGGACAGTGCTGGCGCAATCGCTGTTGATGCTATCCTTGTTTACATCATAGTGCCATACTTATTTTGGGTTCAGATGTGTGTACCGTTTTTATGGACAGGCAGTTCCATTTAGGATTATCCACAACCCGATATACTGCAGAAATCTTTTAATTTTTTAGATTGCCAATCTCCGTTTGCGTCAGCAAGCTCTAGCGACCTTAATAACTCCTGTCCCCGTCCTCCAGACTGGATAAATTGGGATGAGGTGAACCGTGGCCGAATCCCGAGGGTAGATCGTCCTTCATTTTTGCTACTATGAATCAATAGTACTGCAAGGTTCTACAGCACAGATAACGTGGGTACTTCACCTACGTTCGTCATCCAGTAGGAAATACCGCACAAATAAATAGTTCCGGTTATTTTTTTCGGATAACTTGAATGCATCAGGCCACTTGCTTCAATATCAGTCGTTGGTCCCGCCTTGTGGACGGTTACCCAAGAACAAGCACTGGAAGTAGTTTGCTTTTACAATAGTTCCTACGGGGAGATCAATGAAAAAAGTACCCATGCTATATTTATATATAAAGGCCTAGAGTGTCAATATTAAATTCTGCTCATATCAAAAGGAAAAAACCCCTCGGACTGAGCTGCCGCCGACCAATTGACCATGCACGTGTGTTGGTACGGGAGATCGCAGCAGATTGAGAACCAAAAATCGTAGATATAATGTTTTCGGAGAAGAAATAATGGATGTACCGAGCTTGCTAAATTAGGATGTATGATTTTTGAAGAAAATATCCTTCGTTCGTTGCGAATTCCCACTTTCTAGTGTTCCCTACCCCATATATCAAGTTCTCAAATCAAGAAACCGAGGTGGCAGGCGGTATAATGACTTTAACTGAAAAAATTATTCTTCAACCCACTATGCCAGTAACGCACGTTGGACGAAGAGAACCACCAAACTACTCGAACTAGTAAAGGTCCATCTTGCGGATCAAAGGGTTGTGTGCTTGTTTTCGTATTTATCCATCCTTTCAAAGCACCTCTGATCAGACTGCGCTTATTTGCCTATTGCCTTCACTATCACGTTATTTCTTTGAAGTGATGCTGGATAACTTTCAGATTTCACAAATCCGTCTAAAACAAAAGTCTCTTCGGAGAGAATTAATAAAGTGTTCATGCCCTGACACTAGACTTATTTCACAGCATTAGAAGGGGACATTCATGCTCAACATACAGAGTTAATCTGACCTTATGCAGTCATCATAAAACGGAATCCTAGAAACGATCATTCGGCAGGAGTTATGGGTGTATGTATGTATGTATGTATGTACGTATTTGAAGGGGTAGAGGCTGAGCCCATGATGACCCTATTTGTGTAAAGTGCTTTCGTGGATTCGCACTCAAAATAAAGTTGCAAACATTTGCAATGTAATCAGGTCACAGTACAATCGTAATGATAAGGAAGCGCATCTGTTCACTTTAATCAGTACGGAAAGATTGTGTATTACAAAGAGTTTTGCAGAGCTGTCTAACAATAGTCATGTTGTAAAAGCCTGTTTCTGTCGAAAATCACGCGAGCAAGTCCACTTTTAAACACACGATTTGTGGCGACCGTCACGACCTCACTTAGTAGCGAGTTCCGTGGTCGGACAACCCGCTGTCTAAAAGAAAACTTCCTACGGTCCAGCCGCGTGCGTTCACTCTTGACGTGGTTAGGGTGACCACGTATTTGGTTTGTACGGGAGAACTGAAAAAGTTTTCCGTTCCTAGTAAATAGCTTTTGCCACGGGCAATCCTGGATGTCTAGAGTAGACTGCACTTTAGCTGTCTATTAGAGAGAGGCGATAAATTAGGCATATTCAGCCTCTCCTGGTAAGACAAATTCCTTAAACCGTCGACCATCTTTGTTGCTCTGTGCTGCATCCGTTCGAGTAAGTCAATATCCGTCCTCATTCCTGGTGAAGCTGCTGGCATTCCGTACTCCAGATGAGGTCTTACAAAGACGCCAAAAAGTCTTTCGAAAAGTTCGGGATGGAATATTTTAAATGTCCGTCTGATCCAGTTCAAATTGCTAGTGGCCTTCTGCACCATCTTCCTACAGTGTCCTGAAGGCATTCGATTCGTGATCGTCCATACACCCAGATCTCTCTGTCTTTCTACAGTTTCTAACACCGGGCCGTTAATATAGTACTGCGGTTTAGGAGAGGCATTTCGGACTCTGGTTAGGTGTAGGACCACCCATTTGGGCACATTACACTTAAGAAGCCATCTGTTTGATCAAATACTCAGTTTGCCGATGCTCGATTGCAATTTCCTTGCGGCGCCATCGTACTTAACTTCATTTTAAATTCTCATTATCATCTGCGAACATAAGGGCCTCGTCATCCAGTTCGCTGATGCAATCATTAACATAAATCAGGTAGAGTGCTGGACCTAAAATCGAACCCTGTGGGACACCACTTTCCACCTTTGCCCATTCCGAGGCAGAGTTACCAACCACTCTTTGTACTCTGGAGGACAGAAGACTCCTGATCCCTCCAAACATTTTTCCTTGAATTCCTGAATTCCAGATCTTATGCAAAAGAAAACGGTGTGAGACACTCTCAAAGGCCCTCCTGAAGTCAAAAAATATGACATCATTGCATAACTCTTAGCGGTAGTTGTTGTCCATTCCTCGCGCGAATAAAGAACACTTGTTAGGCAGGAGCGTCCTTGACGAAAGCCATTTTGGGCATCACACAATATTTTGTCGTTTTCCAGGAACTGAATCAAATGCCTTTTGATAATGCGCTTCATTATTTTACACGCGATACAAGTAAGACTGATGGGACGATCATTTCCGCAGTCAAGTCTTGAACTTCCTTCATGGATCGAAGTAACGAATGCGCACTTCTATTCTTCCGGGAACTCGCCTTCTTCAAATGACCTTTGAACTGTTGCGGACAACGGTTCACACAATTCATCAGCAGGTTCATTAAGTGTTATTGCGGGAATTTTATCTGGGGCAGGCAATTTGTCAGATTTCAGCCAGAGTAGTTCGGCGTTAACTGCGGTTGATTAAAGGAGTGCTCCCTCGATCAAGGAGGATAGAGAAGGTGTAAGAGGGAAAAAGGGAGTAGGAGGAGACGTTGGTTGGCGAACGGACAAATGGGCAGATATAGAAGTAGGCTCTCGGGTGAAGACGGACTGAAAGAAGTCAGAAAGGAGGGACGCTTTAACCTTGTCATCAGCCTCCAGTTTTCCATCTTCATACCCAGGCACAGGGATCAGCTCCCGAGTTCATTTAGTACTCGTATATAGCAAACTAAAATTTTCGGATGCTACAACGAATTTAGCAGTATTTTCAGTCCGAACTTCCTTTGCAGTTTGGAAGTCTCACTTTTACAAACTTTGCGTTGTTGCTTATAATCCCGGAAGTGTTCTTCGGAGGCGGTTAGTCTGTAAAGCCTCTACAGGCGATTCCTTTTTTGAAAGAGGCCATTAATTCTGAGTTTGTCCACATTGGCGGTGAGAATTTGTTTTTCTTTTGCGAGAACAGTTGGAATAAACAAGATCTTCTAGTAAGGAACTGAAAGTATTCTAACTGTCGTTTTCCCGACCACGCAGTTCAGTCTCCCATGATACCACTGCCGCTTATCTACTCATGAGTGTATAGTTCCCCTTTTAAACGTTTCTCTCCCACCTATCATGCAGAATTGGTTTGGAAAACAATGAGTACTCAAAGTAGAGCGTGATGTGGTCGCTTGAACCTAGCGGGGACGGACCTGCAGGTACAGCACATTTTCCTCCTCTGGGGTAAGGATAAGATCAAGGCAGTTCGACTGTTGTCGTTCTCTAGCCCGCTTTCTGAAGGTTGCGTTCTGGTAGAGAAGTTTGCCCGCTGTCCAATGTAGTATTTTATGATTAAAGTTGTCTTGCTGTCCTTGCTTAGTCTACGTTTGCCATTCAATGCCAGGGGCGTTGAAATCCCTAACGATTAACACATATTTCTTCTCACTGGCTTTGCACAGGTCAATTATGAGAATGAGATCTTGGTCAGAAGTCTGGTTAGGCAAACGGCACACCACCGAAAGTGTCAGTGGTCGGACATTCTAAGCAGACATGGTAATGCTTAAGGGTTCCACATCCCGTACCTGACTATGTACATCGGCCATAGTGATCAGTTTGCAAATGATATAAATTATGACTCCTCCTCCTCCTCCTCGGCATAGTCCGTCTCTCCTGAATTGCTGATATCCTTTAAGTAATATTTCGGAATCTGCGATATCTTCGGAAAGCCACGTTTCTGTGAGAGCTGTAATTTCTGACTTTATTTCAGCAACTACGCTTCTTAATTCATCGAGCTTGTTGAAGAGGGTTTGGTAATTTGCGAAAATATTTTTCTGTGATTGTTTCGTCGGAGAGGCGCAGCTTTCATCGTGACAGGCTTTGACCACAGGAAAGAGCTCTTGATCTGGACTATTTGTCCATTTTTGATCTCCAGCCTTTCTCTCCTGTGCCAATTGTTTCCTTCAATTCTGATCTCAGTCCTCTCATTTTCAGACAATCCATCAGTTTGCGGTTTGGTTGAGAAAACGCTTCCTTATGCGAACCCCTTAAGGCCGTTCTATGTTCTAACAGAAGCGCTGCTTGGGCCTCGTTTTTTTTAAATAACTCTTAGGCGCCTTTGAAATGTTTTAAGCCACGACATGGGTCTACTTTGTCTAATCGGAAAGCTTTTTTCACGGTGAAGATTACTCCATACTTCAGGACGCACTAGCGTATTGATGAAGAACGTCTAGGTCGTGAGTCCCCCATACCTTCGGGATGCAGGACGTGGACTCTGGGTCACCCCCTACTACGATATTTTGCTTACGGTTTGTGGAATAGCTCATTATTGTCCCATTCGCCCTAGGACGGTAAAGCGCCACTGTGGTGCTCCCGACGGATGATGGCACATCGACGTTAAACTGATTTTCTTCCGGCGTAGGAAGTATTTGACATGGATTTTCATATGGCGTACTTGCTTTAGCATTGGGGGTTTTACACTCATTACCCTGGTGTAATGTACTACATGAAGGGTTATCCTACCTTTTTCCATAAACGGAATGTTTAAGGCACTTTCCAGCTGAGTTTGCCTTGTGATGAAGTGAAGTAACAGTGTCATCTTCTAAAAATAACGGCGAGCCCTTAACAGATCTTTCGAGGGTCACCTTGGCTTACCTATCTTTAATGTTCGGTGATTTAGTAAGGCAAGTTACCGTGGCAAGCGATGAAACTTGACTTATTTTGTTGCATTAACGTTGACTGCCGCGTTATTCACCGGAATCAATTTGCCTGGAGATTCCCTGGGGGCATAGGTTGCTTCCTCTTCCCGACTGGCTTCGAGTTTCCGGTGGCTGTGCTTTCATTTAAAGGACATCCGTCGCTTTCCGATCAAAAGTCTATGGATTACTAAGTAATTACATTTTACTGTGCATCAGAATAGCCACAATGATGTTCGTCATTGGGCTCTGCTTCTTTTCCAGCGTCTGGACTCGCTTTTTAAGCTCTCTCGAGCTGACACAGCGACCGGCTTACGCGAAATCCGATCCGTTTGTCAGACGATTTTCAATGCCTGTTAACGGGGCATTGGTCGTTATTTCATGCCGTGTTTCGTGGAATCTACTGTGCTTAAGCCTCCTGGAGTCTAATGATTCCAACGGCAGTTTTTTCGCGAGAAACTGCTAATGAATTAAAAATCGTTTTCGGCTGATGTTTTCTAGTTAAAAAATTAATCTGAACGGCGGCAGATTATTCATCCGTAGCGCAGTGGTTAACATCCTAACGTCTGGATTCGGAGATACCGAGTTCAAATACCGGTAGTGCGACATTGGAGAACGCGATGGAACAAAGTAGTTAAAATAAGCATCGTGGGATTTTTACATAACATAGCCAAGCAAGTCTGTTATTGCAAACCATTACTGGGATTTCGTACCCCGAAGTTCGCCATCTTACTTGATAACGGCATATTAGTATGTATGCTCAAGTAGTGGTCGGTAACGTAAGCGACCAAACTCCAAACCCATACAGGGTAACAGAGCCACTTTATTTCTTTGACTACGATAGAGCGGCGACCGCTGTAATCTCGGTTTTTCGTAAATCCCTGATCTATTTTACTAAATTTATGGAGTTTTGTTTCTTCACACTTATCCACCTGCCGGCAACACAAAAATCGCAGGTGTGCTTTGGATCTGGACTACATCTTGCATCCCTTTGTCGTGTTATTACAGTCCTTTTGCATCCCGTTGTCAATATATAGGCGCAAGCCTGTCATCGTTCAGTAGCTTGTGGATATTACTTAGCCTGAAAGCATGTTTGATAAAAGAATGGTAGCACACATGTCTGTTCTCTCCGCAGCTTGTTCCCCGTGTGGGGGATACTTCGCTTTCGGGACCAACTTCGGATTAATCTATGTTTTTTCGTCAGAAAGTTCCGACGAAGGTACGGTTCTTGTCAAGTCTTAACTCCTCAGATAGTCCGAGTTTTGCGGTTTCAGTTATATCCAAGCTCCCGTATCCTGGCGGGATTTACTCACTATTAACGGCAGGCAACCGACTGTATGCTGCCTCTGTTGGTTATGTTGCCAATATTTCCTGGGAGAACCTTATTGCCGGAAGAACTGATTTTGATGTCATTCATCTTCCCATTTCAAGGAGGGCTCTCGATTTGCCCGAGGTACATGACCTTAACCTCTAACTTCTTAAGGTCAATAGCTTGGCGATTCTGGAGTCCTCAAATGTTCTGTATGCAGCTTGCGGCGATGGTTCCATTGCTTCAATACCCTTGAATGCATCTGGTCTTAGTACCGGCTGTTTCAAGGCTCATGACAACTCGGTCTATTCCATTTCCAAAGCCGGTGATCACGAGGTTTGTGGGCCGTATTTACCGATCTTTTAGCTCTTAAGCTGCTCTGAGGACGGTCGTGCGTGTTTTTGGGACATAAGATCTACACACACGAATGCTTTTCCATGCCAAAAGTTCGTCCCTAGTGAACAGAGTGGACTTATTCGGAAGTCGGTTGGTAATTGGCTGACCGTTGCCACCATTCAAGAGGATGATTTGGACTGGTTCATTCTTGGAGGTGGACCGAAAATGTCATTGTGGAATCGCCGCGCTTCATATTACACCGCAATTTTTGAGCCGGCTAGTGCGTCTTACATTTTTACTGCGTGCATCCTGACCTAAGAAAAAATGTCGACAATATTTTTTGTTCTGACTCTAATGCAACGTATCTGAATGACTAGCGAACTCCCGATAAATTTCCTCCCCAATGTTTCGTCATAAGTGTTAGCCGCCATATGCCTGGAGTCTTACTCTTAACGTGTTTGAAGCATCGTCTTTTGCTTTTGTATGAATTTGAGAGAAGTCGGTACTTTCCCATTTCTTATCGATACCTACTTCTCTTTCCCTTTTAGGGGACTCTGAATTCTGGTTTCCCCATGTATGCAAGTTTATTGGCAATCAAATTGAACCAAAAATAGTTGCTGGCGGTACGTCGAGCTGCCTGTTGACATGGGACCACACAGGGGAAACGCTGGCAGAAACCAACCTAGGTACTGACCCGGCTACACGTCTTCTCCATATACTTACCGTCACTGAAGTGTCCTCATCCAACGATGCTGTCAATGGTTGCCTCATTGCTGGTGGCCTCGGTCCGGCTCTTCACTTTGTCTCCAGACTGGGCTACTCGCTTAAACATCTGCCTCTTTCAAACGCTGTCAGTTAGCACGCCCTGCTTTGCATCCATTCAACCCTTATGGCTTGTATTTTGTATTTCATCTTAATAAATGTACAGAATTTTGACAACTTCCTTTTCTGTTTTTCTGATTTACTTCATATATCGCTTTTACTGCTATCTAAGCTCGCGACCTCAGTTCTTTCTGGTGTTTCAAAGAAATACGTGTAACGCATGTGTCTATATATATTCGAAACTGGAATTGAGATCGTAAATTCAAATCGGTCCCGATGTACTACATTTTTGTGCAGACCCAGGGGGCTACAATCTACATCACGTCTCGAAAATGTGCCTCACGCTCTCCAAACATGGTTTCAAATAAGACCTTCGAGACAACACTGCTCTTAATTTCAGAGATAAGGGCCACCTTTATAGGACTCATCGGCTGCTTTTGCGTCAGTCTTCAGCAGCTCGCATTTTTTTCGGATCCTATCTTCTCGACAGCCTGATTTTTGTACAAGTTGTCAATAAGTCTGCTAAGCCTTAACATCGAATCAACTAAATTTATACTTGATTTCATAGCAATGCGCCCGAAAGCAGTCAAAAATAATACCGGAAAGACAGGCAAGGAATCCGCCCTGGATAAAAAGTTGAGGGGAACGAAAGCGCGGAATGGATTTCGTGTGGCCAGTAGAAATCACAGCAACAACAACAATAAGTGAGTTTTTTTTTACTTATCCATAACGCTACCATGGGCGTCCTTTTCTCGTGCCTCCAGCTTTTGTTATTAGGTCTTCAAATGAACACTTGGTTTTTCCATGGTGCCGAGGCGTTCTTTGGGAATTGGATTGAAACTGCACTAGACCTAACCTGTGAGGTGGGTGGTTACATCCCTAGACGGTGGGTACCGGAACGGCCCTCAGTAAAGGCCTGCCGTAGTTTAGTCATGCAACTGGATCTGACCAATACAGCGCTGCTGGGGTATTGCGTGTGTGGGGACCGTCAATATCATCTAATGGTTACAGTGGCTCCATTTGTCTCATGCCAAGACGTTCAATACTCAGATCAGAGAGAACAGTCAGTATGCAAAGGGGAAATCGTAAGGTTGTTAGTGACCGCCGTAACTGCATGACCGGTTTCTTTGGACTACTCGCTGGCCACCTCCCCTTATTTCTACCCTTAGTCTATTTCTGTTTTTTGTTCTACGCCAATCAGGCATTTGTAACCCCGAACGGTATGAGATCTATTATATTGTCCTCATTAAGGTCTGGGAAGCACGTGGTGAGTTTCTTTGATTGTCCCTGTTAAATATCCACGAAGTGCATAAAAGTCAAATTTTAGATTTCATCGGACTCGAAGTTTGTACACCTCCGAAGGGGGCCCAGTAACCACAAAACGGTCAAAAAATGGTCCAGGATGCCCGAATTTAATATGTGGATCGGCGGATGTTTTGTAGTAGATGAAGTGTGACTCGCGAATTTGAATGAATTTCATTTTACAGAGTTGCATTTGTCCGTTTCAAATGCGGTTTTTTGGCTGACCCTAGCTAAGCGTTTTGCATTGGTGGGACAGCGAGCAGGTATATTGCTTACCGACCCGTTGCCTGGTTCCTGTTTGTAAGTGATTCCATCGTAGATTGCCCCACCAAAGTGTTTGCTCATGTTCATATAGTTTGGAGGATGGAAATATGCGACCAGGCAGGTGCATAGCTGGTATACCAGGGTTTTGTATCATCTTACGAAGTCCAAATAGGCACCATCTTCTATCCGGCTGCAATGATAATCAGGCTTGTGTAGAAGCTTCGTTTATCATGAATAATTCTGTTCATTTTTCTTCAGATGTACCATTGTCCCTCACTTCGTCTACCGCCTATAATCATTATTATTGGCTGTCTCCGCCTTCGCCGATTTTTTTCACGTTCTTAGTCGACTGCATTTTTATTTCTATGACCTATGAGTTTAAGGGGTTTTATGTTTGTAGACGCTCTCCATTCACCGTAACTGTTTCGATTTTCTTTCATTTCAGACACTCAGCGGTGCCGGGAAAACTCGCGAAACCTGCCATTGACCACAAGCACAAAAAACAGCCTGAAATATGGTTTACTGGAGTTCCATCTGCTCTAGTTAAGGCATCGCAAGACTCGCAGGAGTCAACAGCGCCGGATCTCGTAAAGGCAAAATCATTTACTGGGTAGCGTTCGTCTCTTCATACACCAAAAGTTTTCTACCAGACTGCAGTTCCATCTCATTGCAATATCAGTTCATTCACTGTGTATTTTACAGTCCGACCAAACGAATTGCGATGGATTGCGAATTCGTGGGCGTGGGATTCGATGGCAAGGACAGTGCACTGGCGCGTGTCTCCATAGTGAATCAGTTCGGCCACTTGCTCATGGATGAGTATGTTAGACCTAAAGAGAAGATAACTGACTACCGCACAGCCGTTTCAGGAATTACTCCCTCTCATATGCGGCCCGGTGGACCCGCTAAAGACTTCGATTCAGTGCATCAGAAGGTCGCTGAACTGTGCAAAGGTCGTATCCTGGTTGGTCACGCTGTTCATCACGATTTAAAGGTTAGCGTATTTAAAATTGATAAGTCACTGGCCACTAAAAGAAAATGTGCTGTTTTAATCGATTAATGACAATCATGATTGATATATAAGTTAGTTCCATAAGCTTGGCAAAGTTTTATAATTAGTATTCCAACAGACCGTGTTTGAATTATCGACTGTAAAATTGGAGGATTTGCGAACGCTTCCGAAGTCTAATTTACCACGTCAGTCCTTGAATTCGCGCATGCATCGTTTGAGGACTTCTGCTCTGGCGTACTCTGGTCATGAAAGACTAAAATCCTTAGCGCGAACCATCCTGGTATAGGCCCCCTTGGCCCTGTTGCTAGTCTTTCATGGTGTCTTCCATCGCTGCCCGTTCTACCGCGTTAGACAGCTAGTGAGAAAACCTCCCACCTGAGGTACTTAAATTTACGTCATGTCCTCTCCGGTGTCTGTTAGGGATGGGTCACCCCACAAAATCTGTCCAATTACTTGATAGTCTGGATCTTTCCCTTTTTAGACTTATGTCATTGGGCCCCCACCCCTTCTGGAGATCTCAGAATTACTATTCTCGATGCCATGCCAACCACGCTTAGATTGGGCTCTGAGAGGCATTGAAGTAGTGTCGTGAATGATTAGAACTGGAATCTGACTGACTTTGGCTAGGATGGGTCATCTATCTTACTTGAAAGCCTGAAACTGCACACGAACTCGCCGTTTGTCGCTTATGATGCTCTTAATTGTTGTATAGAGTTATGTTCTAGTGCATCCACCTGCTCCGTATCTCACCTTTGGTTTCGATCCTCTTTTCCTTATCCTTCCACCCCTCCACTCCAAAAACCTATCCAACGTGGCTAATACATAACCCACAATCCTTCTAAGCCAAGTTGGTTGTGGCATCACCGAGTCGCTAGAAAGTTGGGTTATCTCACACTCACTGTTGTGTTTGCTGGGTCTCTGAATAACGTGAAATTCGTGAGCTTCTGAAAATCCTGTCATTCTTTCACATTCTTTTGTTTCGTCCCTTGTGTGTATCTATTTTTTGACCATTACCACCACGGCTGTATGGTCTCCTCAAGATTACGTTGACTGACGCGACTCTCTGCGAATATTTAGGTCTTGATGTTGTCCCATCCCAGGCGAGACATCCGTGACACGGCCTACTACAAACCCTTCAAGGCCCTCTTCAATGACAGAGTTCCCTCCCTCAAAGCCCTCACCGAACGCGTCCTCGGTGTGAAGGTTCAGCACGCCGAACACGATTCTGTCGAGGATGCGCGGGCCACTATGCGTCTCTATACTTCCGTAAAACGCATTTGGGAGGCCCAAATCAAAGCAATCAATGCGGGCAAAAGTCCAAAGGATGTGAAGAAGTTGGCTGCCCACCTGCGCATTCCATCGGCCCCCTCAGAGGTGGATGTGGAACAGATCAAACCGACATCTCTGGCTAAGATTGCTTTTGATGTCACCTCCGAATTTTATGTGAGTCATCCTGTCAGCGTCATGTCGTACTCGTACTTTGACAGTTATTTGTTAGAGGCCGTTCCCTGCTGACCCAGTTAGGAAACTTTAATTCCGAGGCCAAAACCTCTGGCCTTGGCGTATTCGATGGCATAGTAAGCATCATAATGCCCCTCAACTGTTTTCCCCTTGTGCACTTTCAAAAAGTCGGGCATCTCCGTGGACAGCACCGGTTCGCGGGACTCCCGAGGACTTACGTCCTACGGGAATCCTGACCGCCCAACACCTGCCGTTCGCCAAGGTAGACCTCGCGTGGATGGACGAGGCCGTAAATGCAGCAAGAACCGCGCCCGCTTTTTGGAAAAACGAAAGAAACTACGCAAAAACAAAACATTCGCCCCTTCCTCTTCCTTCCTTTCATAGACCTTGGTCTGTGTCTTTCTTACTTCTGTACAGTTTGGAATAATAATTCCTGTTCCACGCAACGTGCTTTCCAATTCTTTTCCGAGTAGCTGCGTTAGGTAACAGTTGCGGAGGCGCGCCAGCAGCACTTATTTTTTCTGAAAATTAGCATCTAGATAGCCGCTTTTTTATGACGGGTGATTTTCGGCACAGATCTTAAAGGTGATCAGATTATGGCGAACGTTCCGTAGCGTTCTGAGTGGCCGCGGAGGCGTGATACCCATGCCCCCCTTACCGGACACCCTCAAACTCGGCCAGTTTCTGCCTGTCAGGGAAGCCCCTCCTCGACTATGTCGAGTGCACCCTAAACGTTCGTATCGGAATTATTAGGAGGGGGAGGCGAACGAATTATATGCTAACAGCGGATTGTGTCAGTGTTGTTCTCCATCATGCAGGCCGACGGCGGGGTCGTAACCCTACGCGGAATCATCAGTCGCTGACATAATTACGAAGTTAGTAGTCTCCCCGGTAACAGTCGTCAGTGCAAATTGAGGACTCCAGAAACCAGGGCATTGGAACAGGAAACCGGGACCAGAAAAGGCAAGCAGCCCACCCACGGGCTTGTGGCTGACAGGTCTAACGTGGATCCACCACGGAATACGTGGACATGATTAAGACACTCCCTGGCTAGCTTGTCTGTGTTCAGGGGTGTCTTCGAGAGGATCGGGGCCCAGTCTTTGGCCGGAGTGTGATGGTCTGTCCTCATCGTCTTGGGGCCTCGGACTAGGAAGGTACTGGTATCGACGGCTTTGTCAAAAAACATCTCAGTCTCCTACCAGAAGGTAATGTTTCAGTGGCCGGGCCTGCAGCAGCAGGACTGGGGGTACTCCGCCAACTTCAGCGTAGGAACTGTTGGTAACAATATCAGAGCCATAACGCCATGCACTCATTCCAACGGATGATATTCGGCCCCGTACCCTCAGTGATCTTGAAATGTCGTCATTCCTTCTCAAAAAAGGGGTTTCGGGTGAAGTCAAATCCAGCAGGTTCACGGCCCTCTAATTCAGCGAAACTTTGCGAAGCTACCAAAGCTAGTCTTTGTGTAAGATGGGGCACCTTGTCACGCTAACATTCACTAGGAGACCTAGAATTCTGACGGAAAAATTGCTTCTAGGGTACCAACCTCCTGGATTTTTTAGTTTTTGCTTATGCTTGGATTAAGACTCGAGTTTCGGTAGCCGAATGTCGAGGCTTATGTCGCCAAAGCTGTGCAACAACAAGTCGTCGGCCTCTGTCATAACCTCGCGCCCCAAGTTTCTGTTCAAAATTTGGGTCAACAAAGATTAGTACGTTGTTTAATGATCTCCACTAACTGCATGTGTTTCCAGTCCTGAGTAATACATGTCTTTTAAAATAGTTCGTTCCGTGTCTAATCCTTTTTAAGACTGTATGTCACAATCTACGCCTTTCTAAGTTCTCCGGTGATGTCCATCGCCCTAGAACACATACTGTCGGACCCAGGACCTACTCCAAGTTCTTGCAGATAGTAAATAGCTCCTTTGGCGCGCTCTCCTTGCATTTCCAAGTGTTGCCCTTTGTTTTACGATCGGCAATTGCGACCGTCACCGGTCGCCGTCCTTATGCGACCTGAGACCACCTGATCACCCGAGCAAGATTAAAATCCCCTTTGGAGACGTAATCGTTGGTCTGCGCTCTTTAAATGTTTCCTACGCAATTATGGCCGAGCGCCTCCTAACCTCGTTGCCAAAATAACCAACTAGGCTAGGCGGCTCACCGAGGCATGGCAATTCGATGAGGCTCACCGTCATTGGCATTTCTGTGCCCGGTAATTACCAGACTCCATGGCACAAGTAGTCGACCGATGACAGCCCACTCCAGAAATAAGAAGTCTCCGCGTCCACTCTACAAAACTAACTAATCTCTGGGGGTATGCTTCATTAGGAACTCGAACTCAGGCGAACAGGGACCCTTTCCCAGAGATGTCTCTGTCATCTCAAACCGCCACGGAGGCCCTTACTACAGTATTTCAAAACCAGTGCCCTTAGATCTGAACAGATAAGATACATCAGAGACATGGTCCCTGTTAAAGCCAACCCGACCATATGTTAGTATTATTGACGGCACGCAGGCTCACTTCAGTGAAGAACGAATCCAACCTCCGGGGAGTCTGAGTTCTCGGAAACCCCAAAAGCCCATTCCATAGCAATGCAAAACGGGCCCACCCTGTTAAATCTGCTGGCCTTAGTGTTCTTGTACTTTCCTGTAAAAACATCAACACTTGCCCCGAGGAAACGTCGTGTATTTTTTTCATGAGGAGCCAGTTATTTTGAAGTAGCCTAGGTTCGAAGTGAAACTTAGATTAAGCGAGCAATTAGATGAGGTCACGAATCCGGTAGCACAATGGCTTATTGCGGGTTCCAATTTGCTCATCAGGCGTCACAAACCCGTTTTCCTTGTGCCCCTTATGCAGCGTTTCAACTGTCAACCCTGGATAATTCAGCACAGATAAAGGCAAAAGGGATGTTGGGCACATTTTTATGATAGAAAACGACCTACTAGTTTTGAGGTATTAATGTAAGTTCAGCAAAATACAAGTTTTTTTTAAGAAAACGTTTGCCAAATGACAAGCAGATCACGAGCACAAAGCTCTCGGGAAAGGAAATGCAGCTTGCGGAGCTAAAATACCTACACACCTAATGCTACCTGACACGCTATTCACTGGCGTTTGCCGTGTAACTAATCCGGGAGCTTCACTGATTTCGCCTTGGCGCAAACTTCCCGCGCCTCCAGGGCTGTCTCGTGGGGACGAGCTGCAGGAGCCCGCATCACCGCGTAGACTTCTCCTGTTTTTAATGCATGTTTAAATACTTAGATATAGTACTCAACTGTTCCCTTTACTTGTTAATGTGCCAATGCTACTCCTACATACTGCATATGTTATAAGAAAACAGCACGGCTTGGGTGCCCTATGTGAGCAAATGTACGTGTCCGAATGTGAGGGTAGCTTGATTAGTTTCAACCCTGGTAAAAGTGGCAATTGTAGGTTTGTTTACTTGTAGCCGCCAGCCATATATATCTCTTAAGGGTAGTGTTGTAAGATGACCATGAAATAATATTAGTGTTTTATGGGGACAGTCTAAGGCATATTTGGTGCTTGAACATTAAAGTAGGTAGCTATTTGCGGGTACCTGTGGCCCCTAACCCTCTGCGAATACTGAGCATCGACCGTACATAATTCCGTTAAATTCAGTTTGATGATACTTGTGCTATAAACCAAAAATAAGGACAAGTTAAGTCAGAGTCTTGCATTAAGAAAATGAGATCAAAGAAGGCTGTACAAAATGCATCTGAGTTGCGGGGCGGGGGAGAAGAGACCCTATCACCATCGTCCGCGTTTGCTCCAGTCCTTTGGTTTCCAGCTCAAACAACTGGGGTCCACACGCACAAGGCGTTTGGAGACGGCACGCTTGTGTAATTCGAGATTTTCCTTACTTAGGAAGATCAAGTATTGTCCTTTCACGTAGTAGAGAACATTAAGGTAGGAGAGAGTGGCGATCACATCATCCCTTTTCATGCTTGTGCGTTCGACAATTTCACTAAATATGTAGGTACACAGGGGGGGGAGAGAAACAGAATATAAGAAAACCCAGGAAGCCAAAAACTTGGCCATCTTGGACCTCTCGTCATTAGGGGGAGTAAAAGTGTCTGTGATGTGGGGCGATTAAGCAACGTCTTAGTACTTCCTTAACTATGTAGTTAAGGGCAGATCGCGCTCTCGCAGGAATTCTCAAGCAGGGCGGTATTGGGACAGGGCTTTCCTTATCTGGGTGTCTGCATAATCGTGGCATCGTGGGCCAAAGTAAACTTATCAAAGTTAAATAGGACTGGTGGGGTGAAACGACCTTATCAGTTAAGAGCGTCGGCAGTGAAGTACTCTCAGACTCTTGTTCACAATGGCAAATAGTTTTGGGGGAATATCATCGGCACCTATGGCCTTCAAAAGGGCCCCCTGCAAAGAAGTCAATGGAACACAGTCCGATTCCGTTGGCTGTCAATGCCAGAATCGCCCTGGTACTTTACTGATCTTACATCCTGGTGGGTCAAAAACGATTCTGGAAGAAACTCCTGAATACCTTCAAGACTAGACTCCGGAGTGACTGTCGTGCTCACGTAAGTTTCGAGTAAAATATCCTCCAAAAATTCATGGACGAAATCCGTAAACAATAAAATGTGGACTTTCAAACTTCGACTACAATTCCGCGAGTTAATAAACAAGTCGGGTCGAAAAATGCTCTAGTGGCAAGTCCATGCATCAGCCCCAAGTTATGAGGCAGGTCCTCGTTCTCAGCTAGGGACACAGGCGGTGAGACACTACAAATGCCCTGATCGGTTAACTTTTTTCGTTGTTTCTGACAATGCCTACGGCGATCGAGAAGCTATTCTGTGCGTTCAGTTTTTGGCAAAACGAACACAAGAGATAGCCACAGGTCCGTGTTAAGCCTGTTAATTACAGTACGTAAAAACTCGCAGAGAGCGCATCAATACCGTGGCGTCAATAGCCGGATAATCTAATAAGTTACTCGAACGAGCTCTGTGATAAGCCCTAGGTTAGCTACCAAATCAAATCAGAGAAGAACTGAGCGGCAGCTCAACATGAATGTGCGTAAACAGTAAAAAATACCCAGGCCATACACGCCCGTGTTTTCTGGTCAAAGTAATTCATTTAAAAAATGGCCTCTAATAAAAAGTCGTTAATCGATACGTAGTAGGACAGGTAAAGTAAGACAAGTCCTGAGGTCTCTCTGGGATTTTCCATAAGTCCCAGACTAGTGGACATAATTCAGTTTCAAATGGCCATCTCCGCGCTCCAGCACATAGTCTGGGGCAGGTTTACTTTACACGACAGCCAGAAATTACAATCACAACTACTGACAGCCTGTTCAGTAGTTCGTCACGTCTATTAGGCATGCACTAAAACAACGGTCCTTACTTTAGCGTTCTATCAGCACTTGTTAAGGCAGGTATAATGACCTTGGTAGAGGCTAAAAATCCGATGGATTATACGCCTAAATCAAAGTAAAGGCGGACATCCTGCTCGGATACAAACGAGATGCAAGTAACACGTACCAAACTATAAAAGATATCTCAGCAGAAACGAGAATTTTTAATCCGTAAAACTCACTTAATGCTTATTGCTGGCTCTTGTCCTGGTTCTGATGGTTTAGTCGACAGAAATATATCCATGAGAGTCATGGCCCAGTATGACCGATAAGACAAGAGGCCCAGATCGCTAAGGGGCTTTTCTGGTGATCCCAGTTTTCCTTCTATCTTACTGAGTTCGTAGCCTAGAAAATGAATCAGGCATTGTCAATAAGATTTAAAGATAAACAATAGGAACAGTGAGGATCGTAAAATACAATAAAAAAGTAGATCCGAGCAAACCTTACAGGGTTTTGGTCTTCGGGAAGTAGTCAGTCTCACTCAGAACAATTTAAGAACACTCCTTTTCTGATGGTATTAACAAAAGCTAGCTCCCTATGTCTTCAGAGAATCCTGCTCCGTCTCGGTGATGTTAACGGTTGATATATGCGCAATAGCCCAGGGGATATTTTGCCACCGAATGAAACCATTTGTCTCGTCGGATTCCCCGAATTGTTTAGGAATCGATCAGGCGGCGATGAAGAGTTAGCCGGATTGGCAGCTGTGGTATTTCAACATGCTTCAGCGTTCATCACTTGAAATCCAAAAGCAGTACTTAGCCTCCGATGGGCGTGAAAGGGGGCGTGCGACCGCCTTTCTCTGGAAAAAATCACAGCTGCATTAACGAGGCGTCCGGGGATGATGCGGCCTTCACTGAAGTCCGTAAGCCCTGTGTTCACATACTTAGCCTCACTTAGCGACCGAACGAGTATACATTAAATGAGCTATCTCATGAAATGTTGACCGAAATTCTGAAAATACGTCTTTAATTCGAAAAAATTACTTGGGAAGGGTCGTAATATTAATTATCTTGTAGGATAATCCCAAAAACATTTTAGCCGCGTCAAGATGTCCACTTTTAGACGAGCTTTTTCCAGATCACCTGCAAAAGCTACAAATAAAGAAATGACTACTTAGGCAGTACAAAGCCTACCATTGGTCTTTGATGTCCTTGAAAATTCAAATGTATTCTATAGAAAACATGCGTAAAAATAAGTTTTCTTGTACTCATCTGGTAGGAAATAATGTCTTTTTCAAGCTTTATGCTTAGTAAGGGAGTATCTCTTGGTCTTACGTTTTTAATTATGAGACTTATAGCCATAGAGTGCCCATCCACTAAGCATCCAATCTGTCCATTTACTAATTCTGCTTATAAAGTATGCAACGTGGTCCACCTAATTCACTGAAAGCTGTGAGCCCCATACGATAGCTTCCTGATAACGTTTGGAAATGTTTGATTTCTTCTACACGAAAAGTACACAGCTTGTAATTTAGAAACCTTGAATGCGCGTGCAACGGAAGTCGACTTCAAAGTTATTCTGAAGCAGAAAGTCTTCTTATAAAAACTGAAAGATAGCCTTTTTCAAGCATAAAATCCAAAGAAGACGTAATCTGCTACCAAATAAGTACAAGAAAGAATATTTTGTGCATGGTTTTTGTAAAAATTGGAATCTATAAGGAAATCGAAAATCAATGGGGAAAATGCATACTACCTAAGCGGTCAATTTTAAAACAGCTTTTGCAGGAGGCCGGGAAGAAGCTTGCTTAACAGTTGGCATCTTGAAGTAACTAAAATACCTTGGGATTGTGCTGTACGACAATTAATATTACAACGGTACTTAAGTAATCTTGTTGAGTCGAAAACACATTTCGGAATTTCGGTTAACATTTCACGAGGGGGCACATCTATTGTAGTGATAAAACTGCTTCTGATGGCTGTTGTTGCGCTCTGCTTGTGCCCGCCGTCAAAAATTCCAGGAAACAGAGGAGAGGAGTAGCGTAGCATAGGCGGTCGCCGACGTCCTTGTTACTGCCACCCCCAGGAGACTGCAGGGCGGCTTTTGGTGCAAAGACATGGGTCAGAAAATGAGGGTTCCGGGCTGAACGGGGCTGACATTGTAAATACTCAGATGGCGCATCCAAGACTTTGTAAGCAGTCGATATAAATCCACGTTCACGATACCTCTGTCATGTTCTATACTGTTCAGGTAACGAATGACGGTACAATGCGTTAGAAAAAACCAGCAGTGATCGAGGTCTAATAACATCCCATCTCTGACTATGTTAACAATAGCCCGTTATAGCTGTCGGGTATTTTCGCGAAAGTCGAACCTCGTCCCTAAATGCGCTACGTGGGTTGTACGGCGCTAAAGTTGCAACAAGAAGGCGGTTTGCGGAAGGACAACGCTGACAATATCACCGTCGACTAATGAAATCACTTGAAACAAAGGTGCTCTCGAATTCTACGTCGGATAAAAAAACCATTGTTTTCATTAAAGATGCAGTTAGAGTAAGATCGCAGTTGCAAATACCTTGAGTAACAACGTCGAAAGGCGGGTACGGTAGGGATGGCATGGTCGCCTGAATCGGTGTTGCTTGCAGTTGTCACGGATCTCCGATTTGCGTGTATCGGGCGTTCGTTTGGTCAGCCACCCGATATGATCGTAACTGACCAGTTATGCGTAAAGGAGAAGGAGCAAAAACTGTACGTTTTCAAACATCGCTGCCCGATAACGATCTTTCGAATGAGGCACGCAGATAATTATCTCGACGCGGCGCTTCCTGAGCGTCCGAAGTCATTCAAACAAGAGCACTGGGGCAATTTTAGCTACTCGCCTGCTGAATTTAGTGCATTTGTTCCAAGTCGACGCTGATATCTCGACGGAGACGATCAAGCAGAAATCGAATCAAAATCTGGTCCAAAGAGGTCCGTTAAATGATTTGGCCCATGCGGATGGAGGTGAGTGAAGCTAACCCGGTCAGGATGCGTATATTGCTGCACACGAATGAGTGGCACGATCTTATCACGGCTTGAAAAAACAGACATGATCGGTGTTACCTAAAGTTAAGACTCGTACATGTGGGGCAATATGCATGCATCAAATACGAGGGAGAGAATATAGCGGGTCTTACTGAATTCAATTAAGAGTTTCCCGTAGCCTTTTCTCTGATACGGAGGAAGAGTCAAAATGCAGGCAACGTTGTAATCCTCTGACGATTCCTTCTCTTTCGAAAAATAACCTACTATGTGGTATCCCCTAGAATCTGTTTCACAGAGGACGTAAAAGAGAAAGGGGTCTGTGTCGTAATAGAGGGTTTTGTGGTCCAGGAATAACTTTGCAAGCAGGCATAAATGCTGTGCATACGTCTAGAACAAAAATATTGCCGCGAGTTTCAGTTACCTTATTCTTCCTGCCGTCAATCTCAAAAAAGCTGTGAGGGACCTTGCGGTATATCTCGTTGCCAGGAGGATGTCTTAATTGGCATTTTATCTAGAAAATAACGTATATTTGCTGACATTTACCAAATGTCGGCGCAGACAGGTTCGGCTTTTAAGATACTTCAGACAAAATTCGCAAATGTACACGCAGTCAGCGGATACAAGTTCCACTGGATAGGGTGAGAAATACCATGGCTTGATCCGGTATTGTCCAATTTCTATCCATTCAAGGTTTCGAATTCGCGTCACAACGTCTTGTTCGTGGTGGCTAGACACCATACTTCCAGTCTGCCGCGGTAGTGTTGTCAACTTCGGCTTGTCGTTATGATCATCTAGATCATTTGTTTGTAGGCTGGATGCACTATCTTCGTCGGAAGGATGTTTCCTCTTCAGAGAACTCAAGTTGCTCGATGAATGGATACGTGATCGAGAAACATTCTTGAAAATAAGAAACAAAAAGAAGTTACAGCCTCCGGATCAGGACCACAGTCGACAGAGATTGGAAGTTTTATCGATGAGTCTACAGAGGCCATGCTCGTAAGGGCAGTAGACGAACTTTCCCGCACTAGCCGCTTTGCAGGCCATTCTATTCGATCAAAATCTAAGCGGCTTTCTTCGACCCATTCGTCAAGCCGCTTGTTAACTGTTGGAAACAATTGTGAGTTTTAATAATTACAAAATACAGTCATCGAAGTGGACGTAATAGAAGACACCGTCCTCAGTTTCTCTTACACCCAAAATTTCGGCAGCATCTACAAACTCACAAAAATACCGACGAACGTACGGAAATAACGCGAGTGCCGCAATCGGACTGGGACCTTGCACCCTTCTAGGTTTCTCCGCGGGGCTCCGACGACCATCCTCAGGCGGTTGCGGACCAAAATAAACGGAATTGAAAAGTCCGGCAAATGACCACCGTCACTGATTGGTAGAGGCTAATGTTCGCTTCATCACTAAAAGACAATGTGGTTAAAACAAACGTTCAGTTTGGAAAACATCCCTATTCGGCCTCCAAGGCGATTGAGACATCCTCCACAAGTTTATAAATATAATGCGATTCAAAAACTACGTCTCTGACAGGGCCTTCCTTCTATCCGTTAAATTACAAGCTGAGGGATGAGAACCACCCGGAAGAAAACGGCGCGGATGAAACAACGTCGAAAAGGCAACTACGCTGTTTAGGTCGCGACACCAATTTCACTTTTTGAAAAACTTTACTAAGTGCAATCGGTGAAAGCTTCGTTTTTCTCCGCATATCGTTCAAACGAACAAAAAACATACTGCGCCGTTTAGATTTGGCACTACTCACGCATGCCTCTGCTAGCACATGGGCCACTTAATATTAAAGTAAACTCTCAAGAATACAGGATGGAAAATCCCCTTTAACTGTTGTCTGTGTAACGTCCGTGGCATCACATCAACATGCCATTTTCCATTCTGCTGACTACCGACGGACTGTATGAAAGAGGCAGGGGCACCCTTTAATTTGAAATTGTTATCCGGCATTTTCAGTTAAAATGGTATATTCATCTTGATATAAACTTGTGAATGATGCAACACTAAATAGATTTGCATTATCGGGACACGTCAATCCTCCGTTTCGCGTTCTTCACATGTAAGGTATTGCGGTCGTACAGTATGCTTCTGTGCCGATCTACATCAAGCCACGACGCGTGGGGCGGTAGTGCTTTGCAGATATCCATTCAGAATGAAGAGGACGGATAGCATCACTCTGAATTTGATCAGCTAGTTGTTTGAGCGTTGTGAGGTGTTTTTGTATTATGATATCGACCAAAAGTGTCTAAGAAACAGCAGCAGGAGTAGAGAGCATCTGAAGGACTCGTTTTAAAATTTGCATAACCTTTTCAATTTACGCAGAAAAGTAACCAGAAAACAGAACAGAATGAGGGAGAGAATGCAGGCACCTATATAAATCTTCAAATTGGGGGTTGAGGTATGTGATAAGAACGTAAACGACGAATATAATAAACGAGTCCACGGATTTCAATAATGAGGACTTCAGTCAGAAATGAGAATGAGAGATCTGAGGACAGAGTAAGACCAAAGCGTAACGATAGGTTGTAGGACCTCAAGCATATGCTGCATAGGAAAACTGCCTACCCGTTCCTATATAACTGTACTGGCTCGATGAGAATTTATCGAAATATACGTATGCTCGCCACCTCGTCTTCTGCATACTATATTTTTTAACTAGGCCGTTGATTGTAAGTACTGCTTTAGGCATTGAGTTTGCCTTCGGTTGACCTACCCTGTAGCACACATTTTTGTGCGGACTTCGATAACTTACTAGCTTTCTCGGTCTTGTCCGCCCGTCCCAGTCGTTATCCGTTCAGTTTACCATAACCTCACAGGAGCTAAGATCAGAAAGTTGGGAAGCGATCATATCGCCTCGGTCCTCCACCGCAGACGTCACGATTAAATGTATCACTTTATTTCATGCCCTGAGCTCAGAGAGATCAGAAGCGATCGTATTGCCTTAGTCCTCAATTGCAGACGTTGCCCCCCCCCCCCACATTACTATTATCTACCATGGCCTAAGCTTCGATGATTGAGAGGCGATCATAATGCCTTTGCTCCCTGCAAGTAGCGAGGTCAATGTGGGTACTACCCTGCACTCCGCATCTACTTGGCACGAATTTAGCACAAACAGTCGAGAAGCGATCGTATCGTTTAGGCTACCTCCAAGTACCGCGTTGAGTGCAGACACTTCTCCGCACCGAGAATTTATGTAATGGTCACTTTAACCAAAGGCATGAGTAGGCAGTTGACTCGAACCGACTTTATATACGGGCATTCAATGACAGTGCGACGACAAACAGTTTGCGTTAGCATTCTTTTAATAATAACAATAATAATAGCAATCGCATATAATGCTACTTTATAGGCACTGTCAAAGAAACATGAAACGCGGATCGGGCTAAAAGTGAAAAACCCCTTATGATGATGGTGTTTCTGCGGTTTGGATGGTTCAGGGGAAAAAGACTGCTCTCCGTGAACTGACGGTAGTCCTAAAAGGGAGGGGTAACACTGCTTCGAATATTTTCACTCTAAAGTCCCTCTCATTAAATTGGTACTGAGCCAAACAGATGCATAAAAGAACCGCTGTTCGCTAGCGGCTGAAGAAATTGTCCGTAGGGAGGCCGGCCAGGGGCGTCAGAGACTACGAACCCCATTATTACGGTTGATAAAATCGGTGGATTCAGCGCCAAAATACGTGGGAGATTTTCTTGAATGCAAAAACCGAGTAACGGTCTCTCGAAAAAAAGAACAATTTTGCAGAATTTTTCCACTCTTGGGTAATTTGTTCCTAATTTCGATTGCATCCGCAGAAAAGAACCAACGATATTTAACGGTACGCGCCAGAGGAAGAAATAAACGACCTCATGGTGGCTGTTGCGTCGGGGGTGGGCAAGATCTTTTAAAGTAGCGAGCGGGTTAAAGTTACAATTATACAAAAGCCTCAATAGTAAGAAAAAGCCCTGTTGTAACTGACAATGCCATAAGGGATCAAGACTTGTAACCTCGCAGCGTTCCTGGTAGGTCTTCCATTGGCGGTCCAAAGTCAAAACACTCTTGGAAAAATATTGCACGGATTCTATCTTCTTCCGCTAAGCAGCACGCATGAGGCTAAATACAAAACGAGCAGTATTCCAGGTCTGGTCTTACGTACACTCTGTAAAGGCGGATTCTAATATCGTTAATTTTCAAATTTCGGAGGATAAACCCGGTCGTCCTACGTGCTCTGGAGACTATCAGGCCGCAGCGATCCGAATGGTTAAGACTCTTGGAGTATGGTACACCCAGATCCTTAATAATTTCAGTCACATTTATTTCGTGAACGTCAATAGTTAGTTGAGGTTGGTGGTCGTTGTCGACCACCATGACTAAACATTTATGCCAAGAGAGATAAAAACGCCATGCGCGGGACCACTGGGCAAAGCCCTGTAGGTCGCTCTTTAGGAGCTCGAGTACGATGTCACGATCTGCCGGCTGATACCTACATGCAACCGTCAGATCATCGGCATACATGAACGGCTTGCCATTCTGAAATAAATCTGGTACATCGTTAACAAAAAGGCAAAAGAATGGTGGACCGAGTATACTACCCTGAGTGACTCCACGCCTCACATGTGTGGGGTTGGAGATAGTATTGGACCTCTAAAATCGTTGTGTACGAGTGTCCATGTAAGAGGACATAAAATTCAAAAGTTTGCCACTTATTCCGAAAGAAGACAGTTTCAAGAGAAGAATAGCGTGGTCAACACGATCAAAAGCCTTAGTGAACTCGAAATATACCGCAAAAAAACTTTGAAGTCAAAAGACCTTGATGTGGAAAATGAGGAGTAGTATTTGGGAAGCAAATAATGGGCAGGGAAACTGATTACTGTCATTGGCAAGCTGATTTTCTACTGGAAATCTACAAGCAGGATACTGCAACTTATTCCCGCCGACATGAATCTGGGGATCGGTTGAGTTAACCGATTCCGTATGAACATTTGCGTGAGAATTACACTGGCTTTCGTGAGAGCAGTTGGCCTTGTGTGGTGGAAAGCCTAAACTAGTTTGGGGGATAAATTACTGGAGGCGATTCATGTGCAAACTGTTTGCAGGACAGATAGTATTGCCTTGGTAAGCAGCCGGTATGAGAGGCAGATAATTATTTGGGGGTATAATTGGAGCTACGGGCTTTATAGACACTCTCTGCTGTAAAGGCTTAGTAGGTTTAATATGAGGCTGTATGCCACTGAATGGAGTTATGCTACCTTCCTTCTGGGTCAGAATCGGATTCCGCTTTCGGATCTTATCGTTCTGACACCACGCCACAGGCGACTTAAATGGAGAACTCGGAGGACCCTGTTGAAGTGGGGAAGCTATCGGTCCAGCTAGTGTGGACAGATTTTCCTGCGTCCTAGGGGGGTTATCGGGTGAATTAGGGACGACAACTGGGGCTGCTGCTAGTTTGGAGACTGACGAAGGCGTTATATGGCTTGATTGAGAAGGAGGTGCAGGAGTCCAGGGGAATAGGGAGTCGGATCTCGCAGGAGTAGAATTCGCTGATACGCAGAAACACGATCTCTGTGGGCAAAAATTAAATCAACCTCGATTGGTGAAAACAACTTAACTAAAACGGGCATATTTGTGCTAAGGGAAAACAGGCGTTTCGAATCGACTATTTTGTGGTTAACTCCACTCGGGTACAGGAAGTCAACCACAATGGCAATTGGCCGTGCACATCGAGGTACATTTTTCAACAAGAAGTTGTATACTCTTTTTGTCTATCACTGGCGACCAGGTGAACGAGTGAGTCAAGGCGTTTTCATTCCTCAGTGGGAACATCGGAGGTATTCCCGTCGAACAATTTTCCCAGAACTGAGAGCATAGTTTCAAACTGTAATATAAAATCATTGCAGTTGTACAGTGCACAGAGACTAAGCTGCCCATCAGTAATAATCGGTGAAGAGTGGTTAGTAAAGCCTTCTGACTCAGATTTAGTTAAGCCATCTTACGTGCAGAGGCGAAGAACTTTCGCCGACCTGTGGCGTTCGCTCTCATTTTGTGTCAAAGCAAGTTGCAATTAAGTAGATTTCTGATAGATCAGGTGGTTGGATTTTGGCGAGATGTTAACGGTGTAAAAATGTGCACAGCTAAAGGGAAATCGGATGCGCAAAATGCGACTGTCACAGGCTAATAAAACGCACAAAGGAAAGTGCAACCAATAGTTTTAAAAGAATGCGCCTGTATTTAAATAAATTTAATCGAAAAACGAAGGCTAAATATCTTTGTCACTTAAAAAAAACACTCAAAAATGATATCTGCTGCTTATCTTCGTACATGCCGACGTTGTACTTTTTGCGGCTGATGAGCGTTTCGTCAACTTGCACTTTCACTACGGCACCTCCAATCTGACCGGTTTTCCTCATGAGGGTCGCGGAGCAAACGTTCCAGCAAATTACATACCATTCGACAACCGTCATGTGTCACACTCTAATAACTTCCTCTCAATTTGTGACCCTTGTTCTCCGCAAAAACGTCAGCCAAAACCTCATAATTGCTCCCATTCCTAATCGGCTCCTCTCAATCCTCGAACCAGTTCTCAGTGCTTTCCTCTTTCTGTGTCGTACAAACCCGGACGCATAGCCATCATTGCTGTGCTTCCGGACTTGCAGCTGCATTTCGTGTCTGCGTTGGCAGGTTAGCACGGTTGGCAGTAATCGCCTGGCCTGGCAGTTCTCCACAATCTTCTCTGAATTAATAATTTCTACCACTTCTTCAATTTTCGCACGCTGTTAAGGGTGAGATCTACTTCCCCTATTTGTTGCGGCTGATGATATCTAATTTTAGGATAAAAATAACCACTTAAAAATACCCTTCTACAATAAATATTTCCTACTTACACAGCGTTTTCGTTTATTTACTGTGAGTTTTTCAATATCTGCATATATACATTGTCAGATACCACTACGCAGTCCATGCTCACGCGAACTTATCATTTAAACATCTGCCCACGCTTTTCATCAGATACCTATAAAACGGTACATCGGTATTTGTGAGTACTAATTTTACACCGGCTTCTTGTTGCATTTAGAGGCTGGCTGGTCTGGGTCCGCCATCGTTTATTGACAACTCAAAAGCGTACTCTTTAAAGCAGTGGGATTGAAAACAACTTGTCGTAAGTCGCTCCCATCGGCTGGAATCGCCTTGCCTCCCTGTCTGGATGTAAACTTACCGTCAGCAGCTTATTCAAATATTACCACTTCTAAAACTCACTTTTTGCTTATCTTATAGTTCACGCGTTAACTTTCAGCTGCGATACAGTAGTTTCAGTTTATTTGGAAAGGATAATAGGCAAAACCTTTGAAAACTCTTGATTACGTATCAGCTCCTTTTAAATAACTGTACACGAACAGTGAAAATATTCGTTATTAAAACAGTACTTGATTCATTTGAGTAGCATTGTGTCAAAGAAAAATAATTGCGGGGTCGTGGGGTAGTTAGTTCAGATTTAGACTAACGAGGGAAGAGAGGGGACACAAATAATCACCCAAGCGTTTCTTGAAGAGTTTCAGAGACGTCGCCTACACGACTGACTGAGGGAGGTCGTTCCATTTCTCCATTACCCTCTGCGTGAAAAATTCAGAACGAAGATTCAGCCTGGACATTGTTGTTCGTAGCTTCATCGAGTGAACACGAAGATTGGGTGCAAGGTGCCACTGAAACATGTCCTCAGAGCTAAGTCCATGCTTAAGGCCATGTATTATCTTGTAGATGAGGACAAGATCTCCTCTCTGCTGCCTGTGACATAGAGGGGATAAATAGAGGCCATTCAGTCTGTCTGTGTAGGATTGTTTTTTTTAGCCCGTTTACCAGCTTTGTTGCACGACGTTGTACCCGTTCGAGGCATTCTTGGTCCTTTACCAGCCATGGCCGCCATGCCTGTAGGCCATATTCTAAGTGGGGTCGGACAGAGGTGCCGTAAACTCTTCCAAAAAGGTCTTGGTCAAAGGTTACGAACGCCCTTTTGATTACATGAAGCACTCCCATGACGTTTTTTGCAGCCTCGTGGCTCTGCAGTGTTGGTTTCAGGTAGTTCTGTATCCAAACCCCGAGATCCTTCTGTGAAGATTCTGCAAGGAGCCTTATATCTTTCAGGTGATATGTCCTCAGGCTCTCATTTGAATGAGAGCTGGTTGGACGCGGATGAATGACGGCACACTTCTGCACATTGAAATCCAGAAGCCATTTCTCCGACCACGCTTGCAGTCGATGCAGATTATCTTGGAGGGATCCCTGATCATTCGGACCCTTAATGACTTGCCAGAGCTTAACGTTGTCTTGGAAACATTATTTTGCCGCAGTCGAGTTCCTGAAGGCTGTCATTAACATAAAGGATCAAGAGCAGTGGTCCCAGAACTGAGCCTCGAGGCACACCACTGGTCACGTTCACCCATTCTGACATATCATCGCCGATACAGACACGTTGTTTCCAACCAACGAGAAACGCCCTTATCCAGTTCAGAAGATCTCCCCGGACGCCGATGTCGCTCAATTTGTGAAGAAGGCGTTGGTGCGGAACAGTATCGAAAGCTTTGCGGAAATCGATGTACACGACATCGACCTCAAAACCCTCTTCAAGAGCCCTGGTCCAGATCTCCAGACAAGCTAGCAGATTTGATAGACAGGAACGTCCTCTCCGGAAGCCATGTTGAAAATCCTGCAAGATGCTATTTTCTTCACAAAATTGCTGTATAACGCTCTTTACCAGAGCTTCCATCATTCTGCATGGGAGGCAAGTTAAGCTAATAGGCCTGAAGCTGCTTGCGGCCATCCTGCCACCTCCTTTATGTAAGCGACCGAGGTTAACTGTCTTCAACCGTGATGGCAGCCTTCCTGTTCCCATTGACAGCGCAAAGAGAGTCGAAAGAGGCTTTGACAGCTCCGCTGATAGCTCCCTAAGTATCAGCCCAGGAATTCCGTCGGATCCAGGAGACTTATCGGGTTTTATTTGAATGAGGACTCGTCTAACTTCTTCGACGGAAAAGGCAGTGGTTTCAATGACGGCAGTATCTTGGCGCATTTGAAGCTCCCGGCTGTCTCGGTCCATTTTAAACTGCTGATTGTCTTCTGAGGACTCCTCCATAAGAACCGATTGAAAAAAACTGAGACAGTAGTCGCACTTTCTGTGGCCCTTCAACTAATAAGTTTCCGAGGCTATCCTTTAGACACGCAACTTCGTCCCTATGCTTTCTCCTACTGCGGATGTATCCGTAAAATTTTTTGGGACTTGTAATGGATTCTGCTATCAGTTGGCGCTTGAAAGAAGTTCTAGCAACCCGTATTTGTTTGCGGCATTTATTGCGCTGATCCTTGTATTCGGCGAGTGATATTGGATCTCGAAGATGCAAATACTTTTTCTACAGTCTCTGTTTCTTCCTCACGACCTTTTTTGTCGTCGGATTGACCCACGGCGGTCGCGCACATGGTCTTGTTAGTTTTATTGGACAATGGGAATCAATTAGACGCTCTAGAATCCCGCAAAAGTACTGTCAGAATTCATCTGAATCTTCCATGTTGACTAACCAGGTTTCCTTCAAAAGAGTACGACTCAGTGCGTTAAAGTCGCCCTTTCAAATATTTCTGCGCCGCTTGATTTTTGGTTGTTGGTTCGATAGGAGAGACCGCACGCAGGTAAAAGCAATATGGTCGCTTAAACCGAGTGGAGGTTGTGGATTTTACTTCCCTTATGAGTCTTTCTTCTTTACTGAAAACGAGATCTAAACAGTTAGATCGTTGTCCTTCTCTCAGTCTTGTTCCAGATTTTATGTGTTGAATGAGGTATTCATTCAGGGAGAGTGGTAGTAGCTTGTGGTCAAATGACCTGGACGGGGCCTTTGTTAAGGGAATTTTCCAGTCTATTCCTGGAGCGTTAAAGTCACCCAGACGTAGTAATTTCTCCTGCTTACACAACAACTCCAGTGCACTAAGTAATTCCGTATCGGCAATTTCATTCCAGCTGGGAGGCCGATAGACAACATCCGGGTTCAGTGTCGGTAATTGTCTGATACATATCTTGCATGAAATTATTCCAAAATTTCGCGGCGCCCCATCGAATATTTCTCGCTGACAGCACGGAATTTCATTTGACACATAAATCACTGTGCCTCCTCCTCTACGTTAGAATCTGGCACAACGGAACAGTTGGTAGCCTCCGATACTGACTTCGCTATTACTTATTTCCTCAGTCAACCGTGTCTCTGTTAGGATAATTATGTGAGGCTTCTGTTCAGAGACTACTAATCTAAGTTCATCTAGGTTGTTGAAGAGACTCTGATGGTTAGTGTAATAGATTTCTAAACAGCGGCCACTGGTGCTAGCAGCCTCAGGAGTTGGCGCATTCGCATTGGTTAGGCTGTCAGAATGACGGCATTCGGCCAAATAGTCTAGAAACGACCATTCATGTATCCAGCATTTTTGGGAGTAATGCTTCTCGGCAAGGTTGTTAGACGTTGCCATTTGGTATGAAACCAGATATCACAGTGATAGTGAAAGTAAGCCACGTCATTTCTGTGGCATATTTCAACCACAGTTTATTTGACGCATCTTGGCAGAAATTCAAAGATGTCTTTTTCGCTTAACAACAGTCCGCTGGCTTACTTTGAAGGTTTTAATAAACACACTTAATAAAGAATTTGCATTTGAGGGCAATCGACTGGAAACGCTAAAAATCATGAAGTATTCAGCAACATTTCAAGGCTGATTTGAAACACGCCGTAAGCCAGAATAAAGAAAGGGGTAAATTAATTTGACAGAAAAAAGGGTAAGATGTGGTTATGTAGCCCCACCTCGTGGACACAATACCGTTGGTGTTGGGGTTAGAGGTTAGGGTAAGGAGCTAACGCTAGGGGTTAGGGTTAGGAATTATGGTTGGGAGTTCGAGTTAGGGTCTACGGTTAGAGGGTAGGGTTAGGGGTTGGGGCGACTTTATTTTCTACCACCCAAAGTACAACCACGTATTCCCGATAGCCTTTCTTTCGCATGCAGCTACTTGACTTCGTCACCTGTGCGTCCCCCGGCCCCACCTGTAAAACCCCCATTACCACCGGTCCCGTATTACAGGCGGCTGAGGTGTGTTTACTTCAGGTGGGGCGACATAAGCACATCCAACCGAATTGGCTTATTGAAGAACGACCTGACCATCAACAAGGGGATATATCCAGTTCAATGCATGTGTCGTTGTTCATTGTTAGGTTTCGTACTGACATATCTGGTTTGATAGTCCTTAATTATTACGTCCAGAGCACTGCTGTTGGAGAGGAATGTCGATTCTTCAAATCTACTGCCAGATGGAGACGGCAGAACCTGTAATTTATTTGTAACCTCTTGCTAGAAAGAGTCCGTGCAGTAATTCTCATTCTGACGGCCCATCTTGCGCCAACACCGGTTGGGATGTTCAGTGAGGTTTCGGAACTGATGATACTTCACGAGAAAGGATTGGCAATATATGTAGATATTGGTGGAATTGGGGGGAGGGAGGGGGAGGTTAAATCATAATTTGAAAACTAAGTGGGATAGCGAACGCCTGTCTCAGGATAACGTCCACAGCCGCCCTCGCAAACCTCGGTACGCTGGGCCAAGCGCTTATGAACCGTTTTGGGCTCAGATGCCCTCCGCTGAGAAGAAATTAACGCTTTGAGGAAGAGCATTTTTAAGGTTTACATTGCTCGCCCTAAACCGCAGCGGACGGAAGCAAAAGGACAGAATACCACTCGAAACTCTTAAAGTATAGGAAAAGGCGCCGAGCGCTCGACCAATTGTGCCGTCAAAGTGCCGATTTGCTCAACTCTCTTTCTCTTCGGATCTGCACAACGAGACCTTCGTGCAGCCACATCTGACCAAGAAAAGGTCTCGTTTACGATTACGCCTGTCATTCTATTTAAATATCTTTGTCATTGGCTGGCCTGGTAGCACGTGTCCTTGGGAAAATGCTGTTCTTATGACGTCTCCATCGGCGAAATCGAGAAAAATCCTGTTCGCCTTGTCGAACTGCGTAATAACCAATGCAAAAGCGCAAAAAAATAGAATGAATCCTCGGGAAACCGTTTTGGAATCTATATTCAGAGTGCAAGTTGTTGGCAAACTGCCATACCTGATATCACACTAATTCTTGGAGAATATTTAGATGTAAACTTCACTAAAAGGCTATTGCCGAACGTCGTTCTATTTGGGCTGTCATATTTTCTCATTTTTTTGCATGGATAGACTTCCTGTGCATCTGAGACGGAAGTTTGCACGATAACAATCATTACGACGTTTTCTGAACTTTCCACTTTTCTAGAAAAAATTGGCATTTCTAAACAACAAAGCATTACCTTTAATATTTCATTCTATGTTTTAAATTCCTTGGAAGATGTTTTTCATTGATCTTGACACTGGATCCCTGCATTTCTGTCGGGTTCGAGTGATTAGTAGTCAGTCATGAATCTCGACGCATTTCACCAGCTAGGTCTCCTACTGTACAATAGATGTGATAGCTCAATAAATGTTGACTGAAATTATTAAATGTCTTTTCAATTCAAAAAACCTTTTAAGTAGGATTTTCATATTAATTAAGATGTCACATAATCTTAAGATATTCCAATCACGTCAGGATACCGGCCTTCGAATGAACTCCTTGCCAACCTTTGACACAAGGTATATTCCGTAAAAAGGGCTACTTAAGTAGCGTTATTTTTTCTCATTGATATTTGATACCCTTACAAATTCGAATATGTTTTATAGGAAGCACAGGCAAAAGTATTCTTTCTTTTGCTCATGTGATAGCAAGTTACGTCTTTTTCAAATTGTGCACCCGAATAAAGAGTATCTTTCGATTTGAAAAAAGTTTATAATAATGAGATTTTCAAGACCGTGAGATGTCCAATCGTACAGCGTTGCACCAGCATATGCATTAGTGCTGCTTATAAAGTGGACAACGCAGTACATATTCATTATAATATTTTGTGGGCCCTATATATCCTCCTTATAATAACATATAAAAAATTATGATTTTCCTTCCACGAGAAATATACGACTTGTAGATCGAAGACCTTGATTGTATGCGTAACGGTGAGTCAGGTTCAAAATTATTCGGGAATTGAGAAAGTTTTTTGAAACCGAAAGTTACTCTTTCCCGAAGTTTAATATTCGAAGAAGACGTAATTTGTCGCTTTTTAACTTTCCTTGGAAATTAACTATGGTCTTGGAATAGATCAGTTTATTCAGGGTCTGCAGGCACAGACCGAGATTTTTTATCGGCTTAACACGCGTGCATGGGCTTTTGTTTAGTACCTGTGCTGTTAGTATGGTATCACCTTACCCTAAAGACATAAGTTTCCACTAAATGAGTAAAAGATAAAATATTTTTGTGTATGTTTTCTATGAAACATATTTGAATTTATAGGAGCTACAGAAATCCATGGAAAAATTTACGCTATTTAAGTAGCAATTATTTTAGGAATATATCCTTGCCAACGGCGAAAGAGGAGCTCATTAGAGAGCCGACATCCTGACGTGATTGGCGCATCTTAACATTATGCGAAATGGTGATTATTAAGACGACCCTACTTTAGCAATCTTTTCGAACTGGAAACACGTTTCAGAATTGAAGTCAGCATTCCATGAGATAGCATATCTATGTACCCAAGCATTAGTATGAAAGCTGTTCCAAATCCACTCTGGGTCTGCGCCAGCTCATTTCAACCCTAGTTAACGTCTTAAACATAGTGAAAAGACTATCGTGCCAAATCACGTAGGACTGAACGTAAAGGCGAACAGATGGACAAATTTGGTGGCGATTTCCGTATAAATCTACGTGTTGGTATGCTACTCTTACGAGAACATGGTACAAGTTCGGAGTATTTCCTGCCAACCAGCTCACTTAGTGCATTATTTAGATTTGGGTCGTTCGTATCCGCATAGGTAAATTTATTTTGTGTCCCCAGCACCGTAGAATAAGATAACGGATCGTGTTTATGAAAGCAAACGCTGAGAGGACCATCCTTTGCAGTTTAACTGCCCACGTTCGTTAAATGTGAACCTATTTCACGGGCCAGCGCGGTCGTACTACCGCGATTAGGGTATCAAGGTGCACATCGAGGATGT